GGAGTGGTATTATTATGACAGCTACTGCGGACATGGGCCCGAGGTAGCGTAGGAGGAAACAGAGGAAGCATATAGAAAAGGAGGACCGGCGTAAACCGCATGTAAGTGTATGTTACTTGTGTCTATTTTATGGCATTTGCCAGTCCTCCCCTTCTCAGCACGCCGAGCAGCTAACGATGGCCCGTCTTTATTTTTATCCCTTTATTGCTTTCTTTTCTTCTTCTGTCTATGCACTGCTATTACTATTCTCCGCCACTGACCAGTCTCCCAGTATCCAGGAATGGACATCAGTCGACTCAATCTCTTCGGTTGCCCTGTTCGTTTTCCCGCAGTGATGGTTAGGGTTGTTTTTCTTTTCTTTACTTCTTCTGCGTCTGCCCCTGCAGGACCAGAGCAAGATCGTCGCAGGCATGGTAGGCTTGCCTGGCTCTCCCACTGTCTGCCTGTCTGCCTGTCTGCCTGTTGGGCCGTCGGGCTGCTGGGCTGTTTGTGTGTGCGGGATATATGACGGACGGTAGAATTGGATGGCCCTCCCCCCTCGAGTGATAGCTCCAGTCCTGGCAATCCGTCGTCCCTCGCAGTCGATACATCCTATATATCGAGGCTCCAGTCTCCAGTCTCTAGCCTCGAGACTATGGGGTGCTCCTCGGTGGCGTCTTACCGTGGTAGGCAGTTCGACTGATGCCCGGACTCAGCATCACGGCCAAAAGACAAGACTTCAGGTGTATCTATCCGCTGCCGCTGCTTCGTATATGCGTGTATCTTTGTGTAAATATATATACTATATATATCACCGTCTCGTCTGCCTTCACAGCCGTCTCTCGTACTGCAGGGTTCATTCATTTAGTCAGCCATACAACTGCGCCCTTGATAGATACTCGAAACATGGGGATCGAGAGAGAAAAACTCGACTCTGCCTCGTCTCTCCTCCGCTAAAGCCTCGTCCCGCCCTCCGCTGCTGAAGAAATTATAAGAAGAAGATGCCCGCGTCCGTCGCAATCGTGACTGGCGGCGCCGGCGACATCGGCCAGGCCATCGCCCGCAGGCTTAGCGACTCCCACGACCGGGTGGTGATCCTCGACCACGACGGCAGCAGACTCGACGCAGCCCTCGCAGCCCTCGCCAGCGAGACGTTCGAGCGCTGTCTCTGCGATATCACCGACAGCTCGCAGGTGGCCGGCCTGCCTCGCCGCATCTTCGGCCCTGAGGAGGACGCAGACGCAGACGCAGATGCAGACGGCGGCGGTGCTGCGGTGCTGCGGACGCTGGTCAACAACGCCGGCGGCTCAGCAGCCTACAGCCTCCACGAGACCTCGCCGCAGGCCTGGCAGCGCGAGACAGCCCTCAACCTCGACGCAGCGTTCCTCTGCTTCAACGCCTTCGAGAGTCACCTCAAACGCTCGCGCGGCTCGGTCGTCAACATCGCCTCCGTCAACGGGCTGGCCGTCTACGGGAACCCAGCCTACAGCGCCGCAAAGGCCGGCCTCGTCCACCTCACAAGGTCCATCGCCGTGGAGTACGGCCGCTTCGGCATTCGAGCCAACGCAGTCGCCCCTGGCACCGTCCGGACCGCTGCCTGGACCGCCAGACAGCAGGCCAACCCGCAGGTCTTCCGTGATGTCGCGCAGTGGTACCCGCTCAACCGCATCGTCGACCCGGAGGACGTGGCTCATGCTGTGGCTTTCCTGGCCAGCGAGCACGCCGCGGCCATCACGGGCGTCTGCCTGCCCGTCGACTGCGGTCTTACCGCGGGCCAGACGGCCGTTGCTCGGACTATAACCCAGTCGGAGCACTACTAGGAACTCTACTCTGACGTTTTCTGGGGATATAAGAAAGCTTGTGCTGAGCCTCTAGAACTATAACTAAATACCCTTCTCTGGGGCTGAACGGAGAATCCGAAAAGGCAGCGGCTACGGCAGAGAGACAGCAAAAGGGCAACGGAGAGAGAGATATTCAGGGATACACGGAAAAATGATACCTCATACCTGCTACGGAGTACATATGGACGCTTCACTAAATGAAAACGTGCGTCTGTTGCTATATACCATGCGCACTACACGCCTTCTTTACTACAAGGAAAAAAACAAACCCACAATCATTCAATAGATTAGCCCCCTTACCGTCCCACAGCCCTTGTTATGGCACTCGATGTTCCGGTCCTGCATCTATGCCATATATCAAAAGAAGAAGAAAGGGAAAAAAAAAAAAATTTACGTCCGCCCTCCCCCTTACACCACCTCCCTAACCCCCTTCTCCCTACATCCTCCTCTCTCCTTCTCCCTCCCAATTTCAATCAAAAGGAAAAGAGAACTATCATATTGCTCGAGAAATGGCCACGAAGTCACACAGATCCCCTGGCCGCTCTTGATCATTCACCCCTCGCCTGCTTCCCGTCTTTGTTCTCTCTCTCTCTTTTCTTTTTCCTTTTTGACATTTTGTCTTCGTTCTTAACTTGGGATTCTCTGCCTTGCCAGCAGAAGTGGCGCGCCCCCCCTTGCCCTGGCCCGCAAGCACCTGAGCCGAGCTGCAGTTTGCTCGAATGATCTCCACGGAGTTCAAATCGACACCAAATGGAAGATCACAATGAGGCCAAGCCGTCCAACTCTTCCCTTCCCTAGCCAGCACACACACGCTGTCCCGTCTCTGGCCCGGACTAGAATCCCTCCTGCAATCTGCAACCTACATCCTGCTCCCATACCCTGCCCTCCCCAGAGAAAACTCGAACGTCGCGAATCGCCCTTGCCATGTCCTGTGCCTCTTGCTGCCACCTTGCTGCTCCGTTGGCGCCCCTGTGTCGTGTCATATCCCGTCCCGTCCGGTCCTGTCCTGTTTGTTGGTATTTTCTTTGCAGATACACGTTCTACCTTTATGCCTCTTATGCCTGTTATGCGCTGCGCTTCCCTGCCGATATTCCCCTCATCTTATTGTATCGAAATTTAACCGGACAGCGGACAGACGGACCGGACACCGACGGGCACATGCATAGAACACGGGCATAGGCAGGTATAGGTAGACGTACCTTTTACCAGACCAACTCCACACCCCTTACTGATGTTGTGATTACCCAACTTAACATATCCTTGGTCCTCAGACTTTTGCGCGCTTCGTCGTGCGTGGCAGTTATTGGAATATGGCGTGAAGTAGTTAAATAGATTTAGATCACATAATATCAAGGGTTTGGTTTGGTTTGGTATATCATTTCCCCTCGTCTGTAAACATATTGTCGGTTGATTTCAGTGCAAGAGTAGTCTACGGCTTTGGCCGAAGGTGGATTCATTTTGTCGCCCGAACATTGGATAGACGCAAGCGTAGTGAGATGCTGCTTGTTTGTTACTCTTCGAACGGCTGTCTTGCTTGTCACACTCTGGCATTACTTGCCTGCTGTGCTACATTGTCGGACTTTTATGGTGACTTGTCTCGGATACATACAAGTAGATCACTGTTTATTCAAAGCCTGCCTTCGATCCCTTCTCCGCCACTATTCAGCTAGCCATTGTTAACATAACTATTTATGCAATGTCTCAGACAGCAAAGTAGTACAACCTCGCTTCCCACCTAGATAGAGCCTCAATATCCTAGAGAACTTCAACGCACGCCACCTAATTAGGATACAATTCAACAAATCAGTTAACGGCCTTCTGCTAGATCCAATATTTCCAATGCAACATTTCGGATCATATATACTTACAATTGCTACCCAAAAAAATGCCAGCGAAGCATAACACTAGTTATTAACTGTTTATTTGTAGTAAGTTGTACACCTATCCTTCTCCGATCAAACACCCGAGATATGGGATTGGCCTGTAAATAGATAAGTATAAAAGGGGCCACACGCACCAGCGTCCTTATTGCTCATATGTATCTGGAATTCCGACCTCGACACAACTACAAAAACCACTGTACAGACTCAATCTGTTACACATTGAATGGTATGAACAGTAAATCCCATCTCGTTTCTACTTTGCCACTGAACTGAGATTCCGAGTATAGATTTATCCTGCTCCCTTATTGTTCGTGTAATTCGCACTATATAGTAACCCACTATGAAGATTTTTATGGTACTTGCCGTACTCTGCGCTGCGACCCACGCCAGACCAGCAGTTGTCCCCGATAAGCCGAGATTTGGCTGCGTCCCTTGCCAAAACCAACAACAGCGGTGCTGTGATACGGATCTTTACTGCTGGGTTCGCGCTTGTGATACCTCACCTACTCATGGCTGGCAAGTATTCCGTCTTTAAACTGGTTAGCTATTGCTAAGCATTCATTATGAGGGGTAGACGGAATTTCATTTCGAAACAAGGATCCTGTATTGAATCGAAAACTTATTTTTTATTTGAACGAGTGATTGGAGATTAGGACAAAAGGATAAGTTTGCTACTGCAACAATATACATTACATCATTCATCGTACTGGGCTAGGAAATTTTATGCGTTCATTAACCAATTAGCCTTGAGATATCAAGTCGAGATATACTTATATTCAACTGACCCCCTATCCTGCAACTTGAGATTTGATATGGATAAAAAGAACAACCTTATTGGATAGGAAATTAAGGTTGGTGCCCCAGGATGACATAATAACCTTAATAGCCATTGCGTCGTCTTCTTAGAAATAATTCTTGATTTTAATTGGCTTGATATGTCTGGCCAAGCGCTCTGCCAAGCGCCAGCCGCGTGATTTGGCTATTTAAGGTTTAGCCTCTCGCCGTAGCGCGGGAGATATAAGGCTTGGCATCACGCGTGCTCTCTTCATGGCTTTTCGCTTGTGCCCTTAATACGAGTGCTGGGGCAAGGGAGACACCCCTGCATAACCACGTTGTTGAATAATTATATAAGGAATTGCTCGTCACTCACATGCTTCCCTTTGTGCGTCATGCCTGGACAAGTATATCGACCTCCCAAGGATCAAAGGAATAATGCTCCTCCCAGCTCCTTTGTCGAAATACGTATCGTCTCTCAAGTCGCTGAGGCAGAAGTGGCAGAGCCATGCTGCTTCTCAGCCAGAGGATGATAAAAATTCACTTTTTGCCAGGCTAGTTACAGTGTTTCTATTGACTTGGGACCTTGGTTTCACCTCATTTGGAGGCCCTCCAGTGCATTTTCGCATCCTCCATCGGCGATTTGTCGAGGGTAAAGGAGTCAAGGAGAAATGGGTCGATGAACAGACTGTGAGCGACTATCCAAATTATTTATAAAACCCCCATTGGGCGCGGCTGATTGTCCTGTATCCATAGTATCAGGAACTCTTTGCTATCTGCCAGGGTCTTCCAGGGCCAGCGAGCACAAAGCTGCTATTCTGCATTGCATTGCTTCATGCAGGATTTATTCCGGCACTTCTTGTGTTCTTTTTATGGTGGTAATGACTACTCCGTTTCCCCGGTATTCCGAATGTAAGGTTTTAGCTCACCAGTTTTAGTCTTCCCGGGGCAATTGGCATGTATGCTTTCTCTCTGGGTGTTCAACGAATTGGCGAGACTCTCCCAGAACCTGTTTATGCCCTACTATCTGGACTAAACTCGTCGACTGTGGGAATAATTGCCCTAGCAGCAGTACAACTGGCAGAAAAGGCCATCAAAGATAAGTTGACCCGCATCCTAGTGACCCTTGGTGCTTGCGCCGGCCTATGTTACAATGCATTATGGTATTTCCCATTGCTCATGGCCGTCGGTGGATTAGCCACTGTTGTCTGGGACGGATGGCTGCATCAGAAGATCCGGGGCTTTCGGCTGAATCGGAAACGAAGAAATACCCATCCTGAAGCCGCCGAGGAAACAGCGGTGCCACCGAGTCTTCAGACAAGGGACCAGCAAGCTCATGGCAATTCGAGCGGACCAGAGGACAACACTCAAATGAGGCCGCGCAGGACAAACGTTCCCGGCGGAAGTAACATACAACATGACCAAGCAGGTCTTCTCACCAACCCAAATCAATCTGTGGAAGATGATAACCTGCAAAAACATGTTATCCGGCTCAGAGTTGGCATTATAATAACTGTATTATTTTTTGGTATGATTTGGTAACTACGCAGTTGTTGTACAAGTATCCTAATGAAGGTTTGCAGCATCATTTATAGCCGTGCTCGTGGCCAGAGGCGTCCTTCGCACCCCACCCCTGGCTCTCGACCTTTTTGCTAGCATGTACCTTGCCGGAACCGTGATCTTTGGTGGTGGTCCTGTTGTTATTCCACTTTTGCGATCGTATGTCGTGGATCCCGGTTGGGTATCAGGAAGAGATTTCCTCCTTGGTCTCGCTATTATTCAGGCATTTCCTGGCCCAAACTTCAACTTCGCTATCTTTCTCGGTGCTTTAGTGCTACAGAAATCACCGTTCCCTACCATATTCGGTGCTATTCTCGGTGGATTGGGAATTTTCTTGCCCGGGATCACTTTGGCTGTTGCGGTCCAGAGCTTCTGGGCAGTGCTGCGAAGAAGAAAATGGGTTACAGACTTCCTTCGGGGAGTTAATGCAACCGCTGTTGGCTTAGTTTTTACCGCAGTTTACCGTCTATGGGAGATTGGCTACCTTACACCTCAAACCACCCGTGGACAAAGCTTGGGCAAGGAGCCGTGGTGGGTCGTTATCGCCGCGGTGACTTACGTTGAGAGCGCATGGTTTGGTATCCCACCACCAATTGCAATTGTAATGGGTGCAATCCTCGGTCTTTGCTGGTACGGTGTTGTTGGACGGTGATCTTAGTCCCATTTCGGCGTATTAGGAGATTTTGCTTTCTAAGGTGTTTATTGGTAGAGGGTAGCCAGGCTGTCTTAGATTGACAGCATACGTACAACATTCCATTGACAGTCTACAGCACTCCCAACTCAAGCAGGAGAGAGATACACTCCTAGCAATGATTGATTGCATATTAACTCCATCATTAGTAGTTGTACATTCATAAAAATCAATCCTTCCTTTTTATGTAAACTCTATGTGTTATTCAATCATGTTTCGCCGAGGATACCGCTCTCCTTCAAACCTTTCCAAAGCTCCGGTTCCAAAAACTTGCTAACGGTGATATCTTCTGCAAGACCCTTCCTTCGGCGAGTTTTGAGAACAAAGTCTCTTGCAGTTGCCATGGGACTTGCCATCTCCAGCGGCCTGAGTTTGATGTCTCTGTCCAGTGGGTCTCCCGGTACAACACTCCATTTGTCAAATACTAAACTGACAGTTGCTTGACCCTGCGTATGGATTCTGAGATCAGTCTCAAAACCGAAAGAGTCAATGACAGGAATAAGCCCCCGAACAGAATATAGAGGAGTTCCTGCAATAGGACCATCTGATAATACGTGTCCACGTCGACGAGAGAGAACAGTGTATATAGCGGCAACAGAGTCTGGAGGACCCGTCATGGCACAGGTATAAATGGGTTCCATCAATCGGGGAGAGGCCATGAGGAATGAGGAATAGATGACGCGACGAGTGGCCGGGATGATCTGCCCACCACCTCGAGAAAAAGCTTGGTCGGCTAGTTGGATATCTGTGAGACGAAACTTGGTGTTTCGAATGGCTAGGAAATGAAAGCATCGTTAGCAGTTATCAATTAAATAGAGAACTGAATTCCTCGTCAAAATCGCGAGAGAAGGCGGGTTCGAAAACTTACGTTCTTCACATAATGGGCCTTCCCTCGTTCCCCAGCTAAAAGCCTGGCGAATAAAGTCCCTTACTGACCCAAGTAGCTTCTTGTCTACCTTGGAAGGTAATGTGTCGTCTTGAAGAATATTTGGTCCCATATCATCGGGGCCAAAAGCCCAGATACTCCTTGCTGCTAGTTTATCCCAATCATATTTTTCTTCAAAAAATTGCCCGACTTTTCGAATTGGATCATGAATGTTGACACGGCCACTCTCGATATCTTCACTGATACCGTCATCGAGAGGTTCTGCAATCATTGTGATTTTGTTCTTGGTATTGGCTGTGACGGAATAGCACATGATAGCAGAGGTCTCAACAACGGTTTCACAAAACCGTGTAACTGGGTCAGATACCTTAAGTTCCATCTCCGCGTATAGTCGACGGAGGTCGTGAAGAACGCAATCCATATAGAGCTCCCCAGTTCCCAGGACAATATGTTCACCTGATTCCTCAACTCTTGTAGATATCAGAGGATAGCTCTTGTTAACTTTCCGAAGCCCCTCGAGCATCTTAGGTAGCTCTGATGGATTGATGGGCTCAACAGCCACCTTAAAAACAGACTCTGTCATATGCTTGATAGGCTTAAAGATATACGCTTCCTCGTCGTCTTCAAGTTTCAAAGGAACAAGAGTCGCAGTTTTGATGATGGAGTTGTCTACTCCGCTGAGGAGCACCCAGTTACCCGCCGGGACACCACTGGTAGGAATATTGTAGCGAGACTCAGCAATGAATGTGTCAGAAATAGTTGCAACAACCATATCCTCATTGTCATCCACTGTATACCCTTCTCCTAGTACTCTCACCTGCTGGCCCGCCCTTGCAGTTCCGCTCATGATCCGCCCAAAGGCATTGAACCCAGCAGCATCTGGTGTTCCATACAACTTAGTAACGTGCACAACCAATGGGCCATCTTGATCACAGGCTTCCATGGCAGCAGCAACTTTTGTATCTCGTGGCCCAGTATAGTACTTATCCAGTTTTTTGCTAGCCCCGTCGACAGGAGAAGGGATGTGCTGAACGACCATATCGACAAACCCAGTAACAGGACCAAAGAACTGGGCGCAAACAAGTTTTAAAAGTACCTTTGCGTCAGATTTTAGCTGGGATGGTTTCAAGTTGATCCCAAGAGTTGCCAGTGTATCTTTCAGGTCTTCGGGGCTCTCGCTGATGGTATGGGAGTAAAGCTTGTAGATAGGTTCAAGGATGAAATGGACAAATGATCGCTTCGATTGTTCTTCCATTCCCTTGCGCGTGAACTTGCGGCTGCGGGGATTGAAGAATATATCACCCCATAGTCTTATAGCAAACCCGGAGAGATCAACTTTCGCATACGTGTCCGCATACATTTTTGCGAACGACTGGAGAGTAAAACACCAGTTCATCGAGGCACATGCAAATGCAACGTTGCCCTTTTCGGGGCTTAGCCGTCTCTTTTCTCCTTGCCCAGGTATCGTTCTCTCGATGACAGTGTTTACCTCCTCAACCACATGTTTCAACTTAAAGTAGGCATCTGTTGGCGGTAGTTTCAACTCCAGTATAAGTCGGTCCAGCTTGTTAACAATTAGAGTGAGTGGCAAATCTTCTAATACGGCGTGCTTGATGATTTGCTCTGTGTTGATCTGGACACCTTCAACCACATCCACAACAAGCACCACTCCGTCTACGAGTCGCAATGATGCAGCAACTTCGTCCACGAAATTGACATGCCCGGGGGTATCTATTATGTTAAAAAAATGAGATTTCCCTTTCGTACCTTGTAGAACAAAGCTCATTGGTGCTGATTTTATCGACAGTCCACGCTCTCTCTCTAGAAAGTGCACATCTGTGTATCTCAGCTGTTCATCCTTGGCTTTGCCAGTTCGTTTATCAAGCTTTTCCGACAGATCGTGCGTCTCCATAACCAATGTATCCATAAAGGCTGTCTTGCCATGATGCAAATGACCGGCTAGTGCTATATTTCGAGTTTGGCTAGGGTAGTTTAATAGATCTGTCATGAACTCTCTAGAGTAAAAGACTGGTGGTAGATCTGCTTCCTGGACAGCAAACTTCTTCTGCTGAACTGGCGCGATAATTGGCTGTGACAGTGGTTGTGTATCTTCTTCTTGTACTTTCGTCTCGACATCTGCGCCGTAGACTTGTTGTGCGGTTGGGTAATATTGCTTGTCTTCATGAAGAATCACTGCATTCGATGGACCTTGGTCTATAAGAGATGGGAGCAGTTAGTCATAGGCAATAAAGGTGAACCCGTTGAATTTCCTACCATCTATCTCCATGAGCTCCTGGCCATGAGCAGCCGGGGCTTCCACTTCCGATTCAATGTCATAATCAAATTGCTGTGCCTCAACGCCGCCATGTTGCGATTCTTCCTCGGACTCTTCACCTCCAATATAATTGCCGAACCTGGGATACAATTAGCTTGCTATCGATTTGCGCGGCTAGAGGAATTATTATATTCATCTTCAACCCATCTCTAGAAAACTTACTCGTCATAAAGGTCATCCATGATGTATTAGCACGCGATCGCAAGGTTCCGGGAGGAATGTGTTGACAGAAAGCCGCAGAGAGCCGCTAGTCAAATGAAGGATGGCACTTAAATTATTCTGCTGGCCATGAAATGGGACAAGACTGTGATGTGGCAGCTGGTTAGAGCTCTAGGTGCTCTGGTAGAAAGATACCTCACGGCTTCGCGTTTATCAACTTCGAACTTCTTCATCTTGATAGAAACTGCGCCAAGACTTTTTAAGCTCAGAAGCTTCATAGTCACGTGCTGATATCTTGGCCCTGCCTGGTATAGAAAGAGAAAACAACAACGTTGACACAGCAGTTACAACACATCCTATTGCTTTGCATGTTTACAAAGTAGCAGCATAATAAAGGATTAATCTGGCACAAGTCACTCATTGATGAGCCATGAATAATGTACAACCAAGAGTACCCACTACCTTGGCCAGGATCCTTCTTTACACGCCGACGGCAAAGACAAGACGAGAGAGCATGTAACAATCTACAGTATCCCGTCAATTACACACAACGCTGCGGTCATGGTTATGACGGTAAAGTCAACAGGAATGTGTCTTGTTGGTTCGATACCAATTGAATGTTTCTTGCAGAGATCATAATACAAGAATTATATCACCAAAAATATATAGCCGAGTTTTGGACGAAGCCCGAATTTTGAGGGCAGTGGGGAGTCGCGCGATTAACCAATCCATTTGAGAATGTGCTTTATCCACCACTCCTGTCAAAGAAGCCATTCATATATAAGAAGGTTGAGTTGACAGTAGGGCTACAAGAAGCTCAAGAGAAAACAAAATATATTAGGAAACACTTTCAAGAGCTGAAACTTAGACAGCCTGAAATTGAGCGAGAGGGTACCATAGCTCTACCATGAAGATTTCAAGCCTTAGCATTCTCCCCCTTCTGGGTGTTGTGTCCGCTGGAATTCATGGCAAAAAGCCGAACGGTCCAACGTATGCAGGTACCAACCCAGGCTGTACTTGGTATCTAGACCTCGTTGATGATAGCTATACTTGCGAAAATATCGAAAGCCAATGGGATTTAAGCCATGAAGCCTTTGTGGCCTGGGTAAGTCAATCAATACTTTGACCACTTCGAAGGAATTACTGAAAAAGCGTCTAATGGAATGTGGTTAGAATCCTGGTGTGAAGAAAGACTGCAGTGGGCTCAAAGTTGGTCTCTCAGTTTGTGTGGAAGCACCGATGGAATCAATTACCGCAACCCCCACGTCAGAGGCTTCAACGTCCTCGGAAACATCTAGCGCCTCGCCTACCGCTTCGAGGCCTCCTTTACCATCTCCAACCCAAGATGGTTTGGTGAGCAATTGCACAAAGTTCCACCAGGCTGTTAGCGGTGATACGTGTAGCAAGATTATATCCCGGTATAAACCCATCACGTTGGACCAGTTCATTGAGTGGAATCCAGCTCTCGAGAAGGACTGTTCGGGGCTTTGGTCCGGTTATTATTACTGTGTTGGTATCCCCGGCACACCCAGTGCGCCCCTCACGAGTATGCCGGCTAGCACGGCGCACAGTGGTACCAATTCAAATGCAACTGTAAAACCTGCTGCCCCAGGCCCAACCCAGGATGGTATTGCCAACAACTGTCAGCGGTGGCATAAAGCGGTATCGGGGAACACTTGCGCTAGTCTCCTTAAACAGTATGGAACTTTCACCCTAGAGGAGTTTATCAAGTGGAATCCAGCAGTTGGAGAAGACTGCTCCGGCCTCTGGTTAAACTACTATTACTGCATTGGTAGGATATCATGGACTTATGAGCGGCGTTCTAAAACTAATCAATGTTGGATAGGCATACCCGGTACACCCACAACGAAGAATTCCGTGCCTAAACCAACCACTACGGCATGTAATACCCCTGGTCTTCCTTCCCCAACTCAACCGGGAGCTATATGCCAATGCAGCAAGTGGCACCAGGTCAGGCAAGGGGAGACCTGCGACAGTATTACTCGAAACTACCGAATTTCAATCTCAAAATTCAAAGAATGGAACCCAAATGTTGGAAAAGATTGCTACGGTCTATGGCTTCGGTATTATGTTTGTGTTGGGGGAAAGTGAATCTCGGTGATGGAATAAGAAGGCAGTAAGAAATTGTGAGGTTTTTTTTTTTTTTTTTTTTTACTGTTTCCGTCCATGTATCCTTATAGGTTCCAGCTTTGAAATTGAAACTTTTAAATGACTACTAATTAAACGGAGTACACTTCGACTTTTCGCAGAATGATGGTCTCATACCATATTCCAGATTCGCTTGGTTGCAACATGTACGGAGTAAGTATGATGTCTATGGTTCAACACCAGTATATACAGTCAAAGCTAACCGCTCAACAAATGGCTTAATCTCCAAGGACATTGAAGAATATAAGCTTTCCCTTACACTGTGAGCCTATGTATAGCTCAATCATTATGGTATCGTTATACATATCCACCTTCACAGTCACTTCCGTGAATTAGCTGATAATGTATCTGCAGAGAACACTGGTACTAATAGCCATTTTCGCTAGAATAGTGTTCACGCAGCGATAAATGAGTCTATGGCGTTCAGCCTCAATAGTTAGTTAATCACTTGGCTGTGGGGGTGAACTCGGATAAAACCTGTAATATCAGAAATATTATTGATACCACTGACACACCACGCATAGTGGCGTTCCACCACGGTATAATGACTTTTTCCTACTACTACAAGGTCAAATTATACACTACTACAAACCGTGGCTGAAAAACATGATAAATCCTGAAGAAAATCTAGATTAATTAGTGCGGAAGGTCAATTCAGCAAATGGGTGAGAATACTCCCTACACCTCTAAAAGGTGCGCGAGGAGCTCTATTACTTGCCACATTCATTGACTCTCTGGTGGCGGACTGATAGTCAACCCCACACAGAAAATATTGACTTCCAACGGAGCATTATATATTAGTTGTCAATTCAGTTCGCATATCAAAATCCGTTCTCATCCCCAAGCGAAAGGGTTGATCATGCAGACCAAAAATGAGCTTGATACACTTTGGAGAAGGCCGTTGTGGAATTGGCCAATAAAAAGCTTCAGAAGGCAATAGTTAGGTAATGACTAAGCACGGATAGCTTTAATTGGACCGCCTCAACATCCAAAGATCTGCATCTCGACTTCAACTTTCTCACATCCACTCTGGACGGGGGGATTTCATGTCAACGAGGAATAGATATGGGCATTTCATTTCGTTCTGATGGCAGGCCTTGGAAAGGCCGACACAACGTGGCCCCAAAAGGCCGACAAAGCAAAAAGAAAAGGAGGGTCGCACGTATCTTGTGCAACGATTGATCATATTGTCCTCTGGAGCTTGCAACAGCTTGGATATCGCCAGCGAATAGAAACACCATCCCATTTTCTGCTCCACCAGGAGGATGCTTCACCATATATGTTTGACACTCAGACTATTTAATCTTTGACTGAAAAATGGCCGTGGCTCTTCTTCGAAAGATGAAGCGTTCTTGCCCCCCTCTTAACTTCTCAATTCTGTCTCATTGTTGGGAATCATTCTCTGTGAACAATATCCTGTTGCTCTCAGTTTAACACACCTGCCGTCTCGAAGCACCTACGCCCCTAGAACGCACTCCCCAACTCCATTCGGCGAGCTCGGTCTTACTACTGAATACTCCGCCAAAAATGGGCTCAATCGCAGTCGAGGAACTTTTAAAGGAAAGGAAGCCATCGGCTAGCACATCCCGCGCTCCTATGAAAGCTATTCCCCATTCGCAGGATGTTTCTCCTATTGCAATTGTTGGCATGGGCATGAGACTCCCGGGTGGTATCACCTCTGCAGAAGAGTTTTGGGACTTTTTGGTTTCAAAGGGAGATGCGCGTAGTAAGATACCAGAATCGCGTTTCAACATTGATGCTTTTTATAATAGCTCGAAGCCTGGCTCTGTCAGGACCCAGTATGGCTATTTTTTAAATCAAGATCTGGCTCACATAGATGCGCCATTCTTTTCTATGGGGAAATACGAGGCTGAAAGGCTGGATCCCCAGCAAAGACTGCTACTTGAAGTGGTATGGGAATGTTTAGAGTCTGCCGGCGTAACCGGCTGGCGTGGAAAGGATATTGGCTGCTTTGTTGGCTCTTTCGGGGAAGACTGGCTTGACATGTCAAGTAAAGATACCCAGGACATTAACAGAGTCAGAGCTATCGGCACTGGAGATTTTGCGCTCGCAAATAGAGTCTCCTATGAGTATGACCTCAAAGGACCAAGGTCAGAATATCCTTCTTTATATAGCGAAAGTTAATGAACTAAACCCCTTGAAAAAGTATAACGTTTCGAACTGCTTGCTCAGCCGCTATGGTTGCTCTACATAAAGCATGCCTCTCTCTTTACTCAGGAGAATGCTCAGCTGCGATTGTCGCAGGAACTAACCTTGCTCTGGCCCCGACGATGGCAACTACAATGTCCGACAACTTTGTTCTTTCGCCTAGTGGAATTTGTCGATCCTTCGACGCTGACGCTGATGGATACGGACGGGGTGAAGCTATAAGTGCACTTTATATTAAGAGATTTGAAGATGCAGTTAGAGATGGAGATCCTATTCGTGCTGTCATTCGCTCTACCGCGACTAACTGCGATGGTAAAACACCTAATATTTCGATGCCTGGTGCAGAAACCCAAGAAAGCCTCATACATCAGGCCTATAGTCGAGCAAAGATACCTGATCTTTCTGAAACAGCTTTTCTTGAGTGCCACGGCACTGGAACCGTCATGGGAGACACCACTGAATTAACAGCTGTTGCAAAAGTTTTTGGAGGAAAAGGAATATATATTGGGTCGGTGAGTACTATGAAATTGAGTGTTGGTATTCCATGGTCCGCGAAGCTCACTCGAGTCTAGGTCAAACCTAACATCGGGCACTCTGAAGGCGCCTCAGGAATTACAAGCATCATCAAGGCTACCTTGGCCCTTGAGAATAAGACTATACCCCCAAATATCCATTTCAATAACCCAAATCCGAAGGGTAAGAAATTTCTACGTATTTCTTCAAAAGATGATATTAACAAATTCCTTAGTGCCCTTTGATAGTGCCCGGCTCCAAGTACCTCTAGAGCCAACTACTTGGCCCCACGACCGAAGTGAACGTGTCAGCATCAATTGCTTTGGGGTTGGCGGCACAAACGTGCACGTAAGAGACAGTAATGCATTATTATCTCATTAAACTATTACTAACTTAGGCAGGTTATAATTGATTCGGCTGCGTCATTCGCTGCTGCGAATAGCGAGCATTTAGAGAGACCTGCGCCGCAAAATAAGTCAAGACTTCTTGTTCTGTCAGCAAATTCTCAGAATTCGCTTCAACGACGGATCGAAAATTTGAAGGCTTATGTAGAAAGTCGGCCGGGGGTGTCAAATGATATATGCTTTAATTTGGGGACTAGGAGGGAACATATGAAGTACCGAGCATTTACAATTCTTGAGCAAGAAGGAAGTATTGATACTGCGGGCTTTGAAACATCTCAATCTACCAAGTCGCGTAGTATGGTTTTCGTCTTCACAGGCCAAGGCGCACAATGGGTCGGTATGGGCAAAGAACTACTGCTTGAGTTCGATACTTTCCAGAAGGATATCAAAGCTATGGATACGGCCTTACAAATGCTGAAAAACCCCCCATGTTGGAGGATAGAAGGTATGAGTAACAATCCATGATTGCCTTTACGGTTACTAACCCCTGTATTTCACTTTTTCAGATGAGCTGTTGGGATCCAGTGAGGATTCCAGGATTAACAAGCCTGAATTTGCGCAGCCACTTTGTACAGCTGTGCAAATTGCTCTGTCGAATCTATTAGTACTCTGGGGTTTTTTGCCCACTGGTGTGATCGGTCATTCAAGCGGCGAGATTGCCGCTGCCCACTCTGCCGGCGCCATTACCATGGAGACTGCCATCATCATTTCCTACTATCGTGGGCAGGTGACAAAATCAATTTCTGAAAACGATGCCACACCTCAAGGCGGAATGGCTGCTGTTGGGCTTAGCCCGGAGAAAGCCAAACGCTATCTTGTTGATGGCGTGGTTATTGCGTGTGTAAATAGCCCACAAAACGTGACTCTTTCTGGTGACAGCGATAAACTTGACAGGGTCATTGCCGGGATTCAATCAACTGGAGATGATATCTTTTGTCGGCGTCTTCGCGTCGGAGTTGCGTATCATTCTCGTAAGTCCATTCAATTACTCTTTGTTATTTAGATAAGTCGGGATTCACGTACTCACATTAAAATTAGATCATATGCAAGGCTTGACTGGGCTATATCAAGACCTTATTGGGCCACATATCACCTCTAAGGACAACATGATTCCATTCTACTCCAGTGTGACGGGAAATATCATTATTGAACCCATTCAGCTAGATGTAAAATATTGGGCTGAAAATTTATCATCTACTGTTCTATTTTCAACAGCGGTTGGAACCTACCTTGAGAAGAATGGTGGCGATGCGTTGTTCCTGGAAATTGGTCCTCATTCTGCTCTTTCCGGGCCTCTTAGGCAGATCTTCGACGGCCATCAAGCAAAGCTGAATGTCACCTATATACCTACTCTCATTCGAGGTGAAGGTCAGAGAAGAAGCCTGTTGACTGCAGCAGGGAGGGCTTACATGAACGGTAGTTCTATTAGTTTCTCAGAAATTAATGGCCCTGGGAGGGTGCTCACCGATCTCCCAAAATATCCCTGGCAACACGACGTGAGATACTGGGGGGAGAACGTAATCTCCCAAAGATGGAGAAGTCGACAGCACCCACACCATGAGATCCTGGGCTCGCGTGTTTACGAGACAAGCGACATAGAACCTACTTGGAGAAACTTGCTATACGTGGAGCACACTCCTTGGATTTGGGAGCATAGGTTAAATAAGGAGATTGTATTTCCTTGTGCTGGTTACATCGCCATGATCGGTGAAGCTATCTACCAAATTTCTGGGTCTTATGCATATTCAATCAGGAACTTGTTTATGAAGAGAGCTCTCATATTGGAAGGTTCTAATGTCCTGGAGCTTGTCACTAGCCTGAGACCTGTGCGGCTTACGGATAGTGCTGATTCCAAATGGTACGAATTCACCATCAGCTCCTGTAACGACAATACCTGGCGAAAGCACTGTACAGGCCGTGTGATCCCTGGTGACGTTGAAGTATGTCAATTTAAAGACCATAAAGGTCCATTCATCAGACAAGTACAGGCAGACCAGTGGTACTCCGCACTGGCAAATCGAGGCCTGCATTATGGCCCTCGGTTCAGGGGCCTCGAGAACATTACTGCGGATCCCATTGACTACCAAGCCACTGCGTCTATAGCTGACGATGAGAATCTACATGAGAGCCACTACTCACTACACCCATCAACCATTGACCAATGCTTACAGCTTTTTAGCGTAGCTTTCACGCATGGTATATCTCGTCAAATGACCAAACTCAGTATCCCTGTGTCTATTGAGAAACTTCACGTCAGCGCAGGAGGTCTATCTATGGCTGTCCACGCTCAAGGCACTGGAAGATCTAGTAGTACGGCAAATGGACGTGTGGTTGTGACATTAGATAATAAAGCTGTACTGTGGATGGAGGGAGCCCAGTTCTTTACAGTGGACGAGGAAGATACAAGCTCACCAAGTAGACGCTTGATATCACGATGCGAGTGGAAACCGATTGCCCAATCATGTTCCGTTGCGACCTTGTCGGGCTCAGTCCCCAGGCCATCAACCGTACACTCTCGCCGGATAGTAGGGCAGTTTACAAATCTATTGATTCTCGAGTGTTTCCATCGAATAAAACACCTCAAAGCCGAATCTCCACACCTAGTCAAATATCAGGGGTGGATTATATCCCAGACAGATCGTCTTAGTAAAGGGCTGGATGAACTATTCCCTGAAACTTCTCCCTGGGCAGCAGCTTCTTCTGAAGCCCGCCTGACTGCAATGGAGTCGCTAGCGCGAGAATTGGAGGTTGAATCTCCAAGGGACATGCCGCTCATTGATATCTCCAAAACTCTTCTTGATCGTTGCCCTCAAATAATTGAAGGCAAAGTAGGTTCGCTGGAAGTTCTCATGGAGAATGATAGAATCAAGGACGTATACAATAATTTGTGTTGGACGTCCGGTTGGTCCGATTTTTTCTCTCTACTTAGTCACTGGAACCCAAGTTTGAGAGTATTGGAGATAGGCGGTGGAGTAGGATCTACTACGGCAACAATGCTACTCCACCTAGCACCTGCAGGAAGGACTCGTATGTATTCCAAGTATACGTTTACTGACATATCCCCTGGAGTGCTACCGTTAGCAAAAGAGAAGTTTAAAGACTTCGAAGAAATAGAATATTCCGTGCTTGACATCAGCAAGGATCCGACAAAGCAAGGCTATAGACCAGAGAGTTTTGATCTCATTATTGCTTCGAACGTGCGTGCTTCAGTTATATTCCTAACCACAGTTTGCTAATTTTGCTATCAGGTCCTCCACGCAACTCCATGTCTAAGTGAGACTTTAGAGTACATACGCATGCTATTGGTCCCTGGAGGTGGCCTTGTACTGGAGGAACTTTGCCCAGGTATGCTCTTTAGTCATATATTATGCCCTATTATCCACTGACCAATTAATTTCAGCCATACCCATCTTCAATTTTATCATGGTAGGTAACCATTCAACGTTTTGGCTGGTGATTTTAAGCTAAATTCGGTATGAAAATATTAGGGTGTCCTTCCAGGTTGGTGGCTAGGAGGTGAAGATGACCGAGAGGATACCCCCCTTGTAAATCCTGAGCGATGGGACCGGGAACTCCAGAAGACTGGATTCAATGGGGCAGAAGCAGTGATTTATGACTGTGAGCAACCGTATCACTATGGCGCTGGTATATGGTCGCGGCGTGCAGATATAGCCCCGGTCAAAGGAGACATATATCTTCTTCATCGTCCCATGGTTCATGAATGGGCGTATATAGCAGAGGCACAGCTTGCTCAAGGGGGCTACACGGTACATTGGTGTACCCTGGACCAACTTCCCGCGGACCAGATCATAATTTCACTCCTTGACTTAGGTGGCCCATTTTTCGACAAAATCTCTGAAGGAAACTTCCGCGTCTTCCAAAAAGCTATATCAACTACAACTAATTGTCGGATAATATGGGTAACACGAGGAAGTCAGCTTGAGTGTTCAGACCCTCGATATGGTTTAGTTCTTGGTCTGGCTCGTACGCTTAGATTCGAGATGAATGTGGATTTTTCCACGTTCGAAGTTGATAAGTTTAATGAAAAGAATGCTACCGCCCTCTGTGATCTGCTTAAGGAAATGCAAATATTCCGCGACAAACCATGGCTGGACCAAGATTATGAATTCGCTGTACGTGATGGGGTTATTCATATCGGCAGATTCCATTGGACGCCTCTGGATGAGGAAATGACCACGACCAACAAGCCCAATATGTCCAAAGGTCTACATATTGGAACCTATGGTCTCTTGAATTCTTTATCCTGGGTTGAATACGAAGAGCCTTCAGTTGGGGAAAACGATGTGATGGTGGAGATAAAATACACTGGGCTTAATTTTAGGGTATGCATAGACAGTGCACTGGGTTTCTAGCGGAAGATACTTACTTACGAATAGGACATTATGGTGACGTTGGGTGCCCTGGGTGACACAAGTGAGATTGGATATGAGAGCTCTGGAACTATTTTCAAAGTTGGTTCAAACGTCAAGAACTTGCGTGTTGGCCAAAGGATTTTAGCTCTGGGTATCGGTCTTCTTCGTACCAGAAAAGTGATACCTGCAAAGTGCTGTGTCCCAATCCCCGATGAATTGTCCCTAGAAGATGCAGCGACAATGACTTCGGTATATGCTACCGTAATACTCTCCCTAATACGGCTTGGAAATCTTCAAAAAAACCAGGTAAAAAGAAAACCACCAAAAAGTCATTGGCAATCTTTCAAACTGACGAACAAATAAAAAATGTAATAGTCTATACTAATCCACTCTGCATGTGGCGGTGTTGGTTTGGCAGCAGTCCACCTTTCTCGAACCATTGGGGCAGAGGTAAGGATAACGCAACTCTTCATCAACGACGTCCGCTAATGATGTATGCAAGATCTACGCAACTGTTGGAAACGAACAGAAACGAAAGTACCTTGTAGAGAACCATCAAATTCCAGAAGATCATATATTTGATTCAAGGAGTGTCTCATTCTTCGACGATGTTATGCGACATACCAATGGTAGGGGAGTCGATCTTGTCCTGAATTCTCTCTCTGGCGAATTGTTGCATGCTTCGTGGCGATGTGTTGCCGAGTTCGGTCGGATGATTGAACTAGGGAAGAGAGACATCATAGGCCATGCACAGCTGAATATGGATGGATTCTCTGGAAACAGGGCATATTTCGGAGTTGACCTATTCCGACTCGGCGAGACAGACGCGACTATGTTTGGACAGTACGTACTCCTCTTCTCTTACCTATGATTGTTGACAGTATATGCCTATCAGACACTGATGAATGAGAAGGCTATGCCGAGACGTTATTGAGTTTTACCAACAAGGAAAAATCCAGCCAATACAGCCAACGACGATATATGAGGCTACGGACGTCATTAGTGCCTTCAGGTACATGCAGACCGGGAAACATATGGGCAAGATCATCATAAAAATGCCAGAGGATCCAGCAGAATTACCAGTCGCAAAAAGCAACTTAGACCTTTCTCTATCCCCAGGAGGGTCCTACTTACTAGCAGGCGGACTTGGCGGACTTGGTCGTCCTATTACGACTTGGATGATTGAAAAGGGAGCCCGGAATTTCATATTCTTGTCGCGATCAGCAGGAGAATCTGATTCAGACAAAGCTTTCCTGCGCGAACTGGCTGCCCAAGGGTGTATAGCTACCATAGTGAAGGGAAATGTAGCCGAACTAGACGATGTCAAACGGGTAGCTACCGCTAGCCCAAATCCAGTTGTTGGCATTATCAACTTGGCCATGGTACTGAGGGTAAGTGAAACATATATGAGGCACATCTACTCTTCTAAAGCGGGTCACTGATACAGGAGACAGGACGAAGCCTTTGAAAAAATGACCTATGATGACTGGAATGCTACGCTCGCGCCCAAAGTCCAAGGAACATGGAATTTACATAACGTCTTCAAGGACCTTTCCCTAGATTTTTTCATCCTCATCAGCTCTATATCTGGTCTAGGAGGTAACTCTGGCCAGGCAAACTATAATGCAGCGAACACCTTCCTTGATACTTTCGTCCGCTATCGCAAATCTATGAATCTGCCAGCCTGGGCTATTGACGTTGGAGCTATGCAGGAAATTGGCCATCTTAGCCAGGATAAAAGACTGTTGAAGAAGGCACTTGCCAGCTCAGTGGAAATGCCGGATGAATCCTATCTCGTCGATGCTTTGCAGGTAGCCATGTTGAAGTCAAAGGGGTCTGAGTCAGGCCAATTTGCTATAGGACTGGGTACATCGAAACCTCCTCCTGATAGTGGTAACCACCCATTATGGCCAAGAGATGCTCGATTTACCGTTAATAAAAACCTCCAGTGGAAATCTGACAAGGCAAGCACTACTACCATTGTAGACCTCAGAAGCTTCGTTGAAGACATCAAGAAGGACCCTAGCATCTTAGACTCACCGGAGAGTAAGAAAAGAATCGCAAAGGAACTGAGGGTACTGATAGGCCCGCGTGCGGGACTTGGTGAAAATGCAGACGACGAGGAGATTGATAACATTGCAATCGACTCTTTGATGTCTATCGAGATCAGAAGCTGGTTCCGCCGGAATTTATCGTTGGACGTATCACTGATTGAAATCTCAAATGCAAAGACCGTCGGAGGGCTCACAGCGATTACCCTGAATGCATTGCGCTGTAAGTATCAGTCGAAATCCACCGAAGCTGATGGGAAGGATCGCGGGATATCTACGAGCGAAACCCCTGATGAGGGAACATTGAAAAACGATATACTCTTGGGAATTGGATTACAACCTATCCCAGGGCCGACCATTGACTGGAAATGCGAGTCTGAGGGCCGGATATTCTTAACAGGTGCTACCGGTTTTGTTGGTGCGTGGATGCTAGCATCACTCCTTGAACGGCCCTACGTTAAACTTGTTGCCTGTCTTGTACGAGCAAAGGATGAAAATGCTGGCCTGGAACGCATCAAGGAGACTTTCAAGAAATATGGGATTGAATGGAAATGTAATGAGAAGCTGGCAGTCATTCCGGGAGATATATCCAAGCCAAAATTGGGTCTTGAAAGGGCTAAGTTTGATGAGTTGTCAGCCAGGACAAGTGCTGTCTTTCATATTGCTGCGCTGTCAAATTTTCTAGACCCTTATTCCGCTCATCGGGAGGCAAACGTTATTGGAACTTTCAACATGCTTCAATTTGCGACCAACAAGCGGCCAATAACTTTCCATCATAGCTCCAGTTTGTCTGCATGTGGGCTAAATGCATATCTCGGCAGGCAGCACATTTTAGAAGATCAAAAACCGGAGGTTGATCTTAAGAAGACTGGCCACCATATCGGATACTCATACAGCAAGTACACTTCTGAGATGGTCTTATGGAATGCCATATCGAACGGAGTGCCTGCGTCTATTTATCGCTTCAGCATGGTTCTGGGGCATAGTGTTACTGGTATTGGGAACGGTGACGATGCCACCTCGAGAATGATGTCCAGCTGCATACAAATTGGCAGCTATCCCATTGCTCCCAAACAACGCAACCAATTTGTTCCAGTGGACTTTGCTGTTTCGTGCATGCTGGAGATTTCCACATCCCTGGAGAATACCGGCCATGCGTACAATGTGATACAACCAGAGCAGGAGAAACTGGTTGATCTTCCGGCGACTTTTGACATGTTAAGACAATGCTGCTCCTCACCGCTACGGCCTGTTCCGTACGAGGACTGGCTTCAATCGCTTGCAAAGTGTCGAGCTGGTAGGATGAGCGCCTTTCTTCCAGAGATGGAGGATAAAGAGTTCGAACGCCACGACATCTGGCAGAATATTCATGCAGGCGAGCATCGTTACGGTACTGATAACCTGCGCCGGGCCCTTGCACATCGTCCAGAGATGCTACAGCTTCCTTCTATGGACAAGCTCATGAAGATATGGTCGGCTCAATGGATCAAGCAGGCTACCAGAAGGGAGCAAATATCTCTTGCGTAGGGTATATCTCTGGACCAATTTGCTTAATAGCTTGCATGCCCTATCCTTTGGATGACTTGGCTTAATCTCTACAAATATCCATTAGTTATATCGTATGTTCATTGGATTCTAATATTTTCATCTTCAGGGTGCAAACTATATCGTAACACACCCATACACGTAAAATACACAAACGCTGATAGAAAGCTCAAAAGTACTGTAATACGAGTACAGCAGGAATAATATTTTGCCGAAGCCTTACACTAATAAATGCAAACAGGCCCAACATGCCTAAAGCGGCAGTTTCTGAAATATGTGAGATGAGAAAAATATATAAACACTTGGAATAAAAAACATCAGTAAATAATTAGAACGATTCTCAATTGAAAATTGCATAGACGCTGTAAATATCGACAAGCATCGGGAAGAGAGATGCAGCTATCGATGGGTAAAAGGTGCGTGTTCTCCGATAACGCTCCCTCGCCCGCCCGCCAGGCTAAACTCCAACGCCCCGACTTATCTAGTTTTTGGGTCCGCAAGCTCAACAAAACCATAAAAAGGGCTAACAAACCAACGGCATCTCGACTCTTTGCGCTGTCTTCCTCTTCTTCTGCTATCCGCTCTACATATTTGAACACTTTACACTTGATATAATAATAATCTCTAGATCTCTCTTACCAGCAAGATCTCTATCCGTCAAGGTTCCCCGCAATGTCTTCTCGTCCTCCAGTTTATATCGTATCGGCAGCCCGAACCCCAGTGGGCTCGTTCCTTGGGTAAGTCTCCAGACAGCTCTCTCATAGCTAATGTTTGCCGGTGACACTGGTGAAGCTGGGATTGGAATTATTTGAGAACTTGTACTGACTCGACCGGCTGTGTAGCTCCCTTTCGTCTCTCACTGCCCCTCAGCTCGGATCCCACGCGATAAAGGGTATATATATATTGCAGCCTAACTTGGGTACTGTCCAAGACTAATGGAGTTGGATTGCCATAGCCGCTCTTGAACGGGCTCAAGGAATTAAACCAGAAGATGTAGAAGAGGTCTTCTTTGGGAATGTCCTGTCTGCAAAGTAAGGTGTCCCTCCTTTTGGCGGGGGTAGCTCTCGAGCTAACGGCGTTACAACAGTGTCGGTCAGAACCCTGCCAGACAATGCGCACTGGGAGCTGGACTCTTGGATTCTACAGTTTGCACCACCATAAACAAGGTGTGCGCCTCAGGTCTCAAGGCTGTCATTCTGGGTGCCCAGACCATCATGACTGGTAACGCCAATATCATCGTTGCTGGCGGAACTGAGTCCATGTCAAACACCCCCCACTACCTCCCGAATATGCGTACTGGAGCCAAGTATGGCCACCAGAGTCTCACAGACGGTATCATGAAGGATGGCCTGATGGATGCTTATGGAAAGCAGGAGCTCATGGGGCTCCAGGCAGAGGAGTGTGCTCAGGACCACGGATTCAGCCGTGAGCAGCAAGACGACTATGCTATCCGTACATACCAGCGTGCCCAGGCTGCGCAGAACTCCGGTGCTCTCAGCGCAGAGATTGCACCAGTTGAGATCCCCGGTTTCCGCGGCAAGCCATCCACCATTGTCGACAAGGATGAGGAAGCCAAAAACGTGAGCAGTCCCCTTTACATTGGAATCAACGAGAGTCAAACGACTAATATAAACCCATCTAGCTTAACCCCGACAAACTCCGAGCCATCAAGCCCGCTTTCATTCCAAATGGCGGCACAGTAACTGCTCCTAACTCATCCCCTCTTAACGACGGCGCAGCAGCCCTCGTGCTGGTCTCTGAAGCCAAGCTGAAAGAGCTCAACCTCAAGCCCATGGCCAAGATCCTCGGATGGGGTGACGCAGCCAAGGCGCCCAGCAAGTTCACCACTGCTCCCTCCCTGGCCATCCCCAAGGCTCTCAAGCACGCTGGAGTTGAACAAAGTGCCATTGACGCCTTTGAGATCAACGAGGCATTCAGCGTTGTTGCATTGGCAAATATGAAGATCCTCAACCTCTCTGAGGATAAGGTCAACATCCACGGCGGATCTGTTGCACTGGGACACCCGCTTGGAGCTAGTGGTGCGCGTATCCTGACTACTCTTTTGGGTGTCTTGCGTGAGAAAAAGGGGAAGCTTGGATGTGTGGGTATTTGCAATGGTGGAGGCGGTGCTAGCGCCATGGTTATTGAGTCCCTGCAGTAGATTGATTGATTGATTCATTAATGTTAATGAAATGCTGTGCCGTTAAGGAGGATTGACTTTATTGATTATTTTCCAAAGTCTGATTTGAGTGATGAACAAAAACAAAACATTCTCGGGGTCATTGAGAAGAAAACAAAATATCACATAACTTAGCTTAAACCATAGGTAGATATACATTATTCCAAAAATAAAACAAGTAATACCAAGGTATGGAAAGAAACCCGGGAAAAAAAAGTGACCTACGCAAAGGCTCCTACCAAGGCCATCAACGACGCACCAGCAGCAACAGCAATACCGGCCTCAAGCCGATTCCGTCCTTGTAGAACCTCATAGCTTCTATCACTCAAGAAGTCCTCAGCAAGGAGCTCCACCAGCCCAGCAAATAGTAAAAGACCACTACTAAATGCGTTCGTTAGTCCAACCATGAGCAGACCCGTAGTGCTCGCTGGGTCATATAGATTATGTACACCGAGTCCAATAGCCTGACCTATAGGCGTAGTTGTCCCGTATGCAAGAGCCATGAGCCACGGTCTAGGTGACGAGGCAGGGAACAGCGCCGGTATGAGAGCTGCTATGCGTGCGCCGAGAGCAAAGCCTTCAAATGTCTGGTGGAAGGATATAGCGACCAGAAGAACAAGGAAGTTTGCACCCGTGGCTACGGAGAGAGCCATACCGATGAATATGCTGTGGAAAAGTATACCGGCTTCGAGAAGCAGGCATTGAAGGAGTTGCTTTTGAGCACTTTGCTCGCTCATATGGCTGTCGTGGCTATGGTGGTGGTGATGATGGCCGTGATGTGTAGGGCGTACGTATTCCGACTCGTTATCTTCCGGCTGCGGATCGAGTTCTTCAAGGTCGAGATCCAGATCTTCATCGTCGCTTGGATGGTCTGCACCTGCGTCTCGACCATCTTGACCTCTTGCATGGCCATTCTGCATAAGCGGACTTGCTCCATCGACCAAATTCTCCGTCGAGTTGCTAATGACTATCCGAGCCGGTGGATTGCGTCGTACTTTGCTCATTCGTACAGATGAGCCGTTCTCGTGTGCGTGGCCGTGATTGTGCCCGTGTCCATGGCCATGACCATCACCTATTAGCGTATCGTACTCCGATCCATGAACATGTCCAGCCCCCTTCATGGCAAAGAACATTTCAATGCAAACGACCATTAGCACCGCAACCATGGCTACGAGCCCGGCAAAGGCAGGATAACCCTTATTCCAGAACCGCGGCAGACATGGGCTCGTCAGGGATATAAACGCCGTTGGCAGCAGGTGTACGAAGGCAGTGGCTATAAGCACGCCTGTGCCGAAATGGCGGGACAAAAAGAGGAAACGGCGCGGGATAGGTAGTTTAGGGAACCGTCGTGCTATTATGGGAAACGCACAGGCTGGTTGATAGCTGGATGTTAGCATGTCACTGCATGGAGACATGTGGTGAATGACGTACCGAATGTGCTGAGGGTGAGGATTAGGAACAACGCAGCTACGTGAGCTGGTGTATTGTATGTGTTTATCTTCTTGCTTCCGCACGACCGTCGGAGGTACTCTTCTTTCAACTTGTCAAGTGGTATGGCGTCCAGGCCGGACACTGCAGGGGCTAATGATGAAGCTGTTAGTTAGAATAGCGGCTTCAAGGGGATCAACGAAGCAGGCCAACTCACCCCCATCCATTCTGGATAAAACAACCCGTTTTCTTTCCTTTGTACCCGGCTGCTGTCATGTATGTATGTATGTATGGTGTATGGATGTATATGTACCGTATACCTTGACCAGCAAGATATGGACGTATATGTTGGTTTCCGCTCTGCTGCACTTCTCCGTCTCCGCAAAAAGATGTCTGTTGTCCACTTCAGGAGAGCGTAGATGTAATCATGCGCCCGTCATGCAGTGCATGCATCCATAGCCTAGATATTCCGATCGATATCTCAATCCCAATGGCCGTATATCAGTCCGTCTGAATTTTTCAGTCCGTTGGTGTCACTGCCGTAGGGAGTGAGAAAGTGCCGGCTGCGCAAAACAGCGCCGCAACGAGAAGAGTAGCGGCAGATCGGATCTCGAGGTAGTGGAATTGGTATGGCCTGTCGGTCAAGAAGCGTCGGAATGGGCGCTGTATTGTGCTCCTGGGCTGCCCTGGTGGTTTGTCTGCTGTCCCTGTGCTGGCTTTTGGTCGTGTGTCAAGTTCGGTCAAATCCAAATTTCTTGAAGTCACGGGACGTCACGGCCGGAGAGAGAGCGGGCTCAGTCGGTCGAAGACGCAGACAAAGCAGAGACGAGACGAGACGAGACGAGAGCAGTGAGTATCCAGCAATGAAGCAGGCGAAGGTGTTAATGACGGGTCGGAAGATGCCGTCTAATAACAGGGCGAGACAGAGGCCTGGGTGGTCATTATCATTATGCTGTCAGGGGTAATGTCGACATAAGTTGCCAGGGGCTTCCTTGCACAGATTGGACCACTCTACATATGCATCGGGAGACGAGGATCAATGATACGAGAAGAGATTTAAGAGACGAATTGTTCATTGAAAGAGTAGATACAGGACACAAACAAGAAAGGGGTTTCATCAGACAGCTGGATGTTCCGAATCCGCTTCATGCCTCCTTGAGAAAAGGGAAAAAGTGAAGATACACTAAGAGAAAAGAAAAAAAGGTCGACGGAAAAAAAAGGATCATTTCATGAATTTAAAATCAAAGTAGAAGAGGTCAAGGGAGGTCGAAGCGGATACTGATCACCGGGGAGTGCCGATTCTGTCAACACCGAGAGGAAGTATGTATGTAGGTATGTATATAAACAGATGCTATTTGCAAGGCATGGATATCAAGATAACAGTATAAAACGATAACAAGAGAAACAGTAACGGGCTAGTCCAGATTTCTAAGAGGCGAGAGCGAAGTTGTTGGATTTCCCGTCGTCGGCACAGAGTTTCTCAACATCACGGGGGCCGAGGGTTTCGGGGAAGTTGTCGAAGCCAGCTTTGAGAACCTTGACGTAGAGGGTGCCATTGTCGCCGTTGAAGACAACGGCGACGGTGACTGGATCCTCCGGACGGTCAAAGTAGTAGCTGGAGCCACCGGATTTCGACTGTTCAGTGTGGTAGGTAGACTTGCAGCGCATGTCACCGGGGGCGAGGACCTCGAGGACGTCGAACTCGCCGCATCCAGACTTCCAACAAGAGCAACCTGGGTTCATGGGGTACTGGGAAGTAAGAGGAATCTTGGCGTTGAGCAGCCAGAGGGCCGGCATGTCCTTGGGGTCGTAGATAGATGAACCGCGTGTGCCAGTTAGAGGCATGGAAAGCCTAAAGAGGAAGATCTTATCCTCACCACCGAAGCCGTCTGTAGATGCTAGTTAGTATATGAACGGTTAAATTGTGGGTATATATGGCGTGGGGAAACCTACGGAAGGCAGCGGCACCAGGACGGGTGAAGCCACAGTCACCATTCTTGCACTTCTTATCCGACATGACGATGAGCTCTTTGCCATCGGGAATGGTTGGGTCCTTGGGGAAGTTTGGACTGTCGCTCATACCGAAGAAATCGTCGTCAAGGCCAAGTGCTTTAAGGGCAGCTCCGAAGCTCTGATCCACACCTTTATCCCAACCACCATCGTTGTTCAGGAAAGAGAGGCCTTCAGCTTCCTTGGTATCGGTATTGAAGTAGGCAACACGTCCCCACTGGCCTGGACCAGCATTGACGGGAGCATGGGGCTTGGAGTCCTTGGGCTTGTCACCGCCCTTATAGCCGTTGCTCTTGACCTGAGGGTCTTTCATACCAGGAGCACCAGGGGCAGGGGTGGGGGCAGCAGGGGCACCACCGCCACCACCACCATATTCGTTGATCCAGGAGACGACCTGGCCGTTGATAGTGGCGACGACAGTGTCTCCGACGGCACGCTTCTCGTGGAATCGCTGGTGGGAGTGGCCGTGACGACGCTCGTGGATGGATGGCTTGAGCTCGCGCTTGGGCTTCTCACTGCCTTTATTGTAGACAGCCATGCTGTAAAATTTCATGGGTCCACGGAAGTGAGCAGACAGCTACTCGAGTTAATTAGGCCTTTTATGCTTTGTATCTTCTCTCTATCGACAGATCTAAGCTTACCTCTTCGCCAAGAGGGCCGAATGGACCAGAGTACTCATGTTTCTCAGACCCGCATTGACCGCTGCTCATGGAGGTGACCAAGTCGTAGGTGCCTGAGGTAGAGAAGCCCGAGTATGTGATCATGTTAACGGCCGAGCAGTACCAGTTGCCGCCATCATTGGTGCAACCGGCCTCAGCCGAGACAGTTGAGACGGAGGCTGCGAGCGCAGCTCCGAAGAAGAGAGAATAGCGCATCTTCTATCGCCAGTCAGTCTATATTTTTATCGATGGCCGTCTCTCTCCGCGAGGACTCACCGTGAAGGACAGACAAGTCGTATCGTAATGAGCGAGAGTCTTAAGGAGCGGATAGGGCGTTGTCTCAGCAACGTCCTCGAAAGCAAGAACAAGAAAATGAGCGAACGAAAAGAGCGACGTTCGGTGGTGACGAGGATGTCGTTGCAAAGAAGAGAGAGAGAGAGAGAGGAAGAAGCAGGAAAAAGTGGACGAGGCGGCAGTTTTTAAAAAAAACGCAGCGAACAAACCAGGGGCCGCGCAAGGAAAAAGGAGAAAACGAGCAGGGGGGGAGGCGGGCTGGTAATACGCGTTACGACGTTACCGCGTTTCCCGTTGGCGGGCTGGCCGTCCAGCGCAGAAGAGCCGCCCCGCCAGGACCCCCTGACTCTCGTAAAAGCGGCCGCATCACAGACAGGGGACGGCAGCTGATTGGCTGAGAGGGGGGACTTGCGTGGCCGCTCTAGGCCCAAAGCAGGACTAGCGCCAGGAACAAGATTTTAATGACAGGAACCAACGCTCGGCCGGTATCAGGGCGGTATTTGGTACGCTTGTTACATACGATACGAGACGGTTACCGGTTTCAGCCTTGACGAGGCAACGTCAGGAGATGGAGAAGATAGAGAATATTGATATGGCGGCGAGGACTAGGAGAAGAGAGAGAGAAGAGGAGAGAAGAGGAGAGAAGAGAAGAAGAAGAAGAAGTGGTGAGGACAAAAGAAAGGAAAGGAGCAGCAAGGCCAGCGCTGAAAACGTTGGCTCCTCTTGCTCGCTGGCTGGCTTTGTTGCTTTGGCGCCGGCTTTTCCTTGCTTTTTCCTCCATGGCTAGAAAAAAAGTCCAAATCAGGGGACGGGGGTTGAGAGCCAGCAGTGGGCCGCTGGGGGAGTCCGCTTGTCTGCTGGGACGCTGCCTTGGTTGGCCAGACCAGGTCGTCGATGGTGAAACCTGGGAGGTGACGGGCGAGATGAGATGGCGTGGACGCAGTTGCTGGCGGAGCAGAACGTGACGATCCGGCGATGATGCAGTGGTTAGAGCATTCTGCACGGAGCAAAGGAGGTGATGACAGCAGTGATCGTGATCGTGGTGATCGTGATAGTCGTAGTCGTCGTCGTAGTAAGGTTGGTGGTGGCAGCCGAAGTTGCTCGTCTATTGCAACGTCTCCCTTATTTCACCTCTCTTTCAACTCTACCCCTATCACCATATACATATAACTATACTAAGACTAGGCTTTTATAAGTCATAATCAGCTTGCTTCTGGGCTGTAAGCCGCTTCCATGTGCTTCCTGCGTCGAATCATCAAATACAGATGGTTGCCTAGAATGCAGCAGTTGGTATGTAAAGAAACTGCTTGCTCGCTTCTAGAGTTGCTTTCATCACTAGAAAATAAAGAAAAAAAATCACCCAGCGTAAAGAAATAGAATCTGAATCATCCGCTGAGAGTCAGTGTGCAGTTCTAGGTGCCAGGTAAGTCATATCGTTCTATCAGCCACAGCTCTCTCCAGATAGAACCAAGGGAGGCCTCTATCGTACGGCATTGGCTATAAATCTCCCTGTTAGTATTCCTTAGCTTATGAACCTCCCAAAGAGTCACACCGAATCTGATGGCTTTATATTATAGAATTGCCGACGTTTGGAATATCCATCGCCTCCAGTAGGATGGAATTCGCAGACACTTGGTTATAGGGTAGCAACATCAGCGTACGGATACCCCGTAGTTGGTTCACTCAGTAGTTAGTCAGTTTTTCAAGCAAGGCTGAAGGACAAATTAGCTAAAACTTACCTTCGATGCGTTTGCTATACCTGTAAATCATGTTCTGTATTCACTCAGCTGCTTCCGTACCGTCTGCCCTTGTGGTTATTCGTGCTTCACAATAAAACCCCGTTTCCTTCTACTAAATGTCGTGTTACCCAAAACGGCATAACGTAGATATGTTCAAGAGAGCTGCTGAGACGATCTTTTTCTATCAAGGAGTCAAACAACAAGCCCAACCTCTACACGCCCATAAATCCACAGCCATAGGCCCTTTGATATTTGGCCATGGGCTTCCGCTACTCTGATACCCTGGGAAAACATGGCTGCATTGGGGTTGGCGGCTATGCGTGCATCTACCTCGTCAGCCCGACCATTGTGGTGAAAGCTGTACGCCCTGACCGAGACCATGCAGAGGAGAAGGTGACGGGCCATCCCTTACATGGGGATATCGCTTTTTACAAATCTTTCAACGAGCGCCGCGACCGGTGTCCACATATCGTGGAATGCTTCCTCATGTTTCCCGACCATCTCTTCCTCTCATTCTGCGCAAACAAGGCACTCTTATATCGCTTCCATGAGCGCCAGGAGCGAGAAATTAACGACTTCTTTGGCCGTCTTGTCCGTATTAAGGATTATGAGGACCCCGTGCTTATTGCCCGGTGGATACAACAGCTCACATCTGCGCTAGAATACGTGGAGAAAATGGGATTCTGCCATAACGACCAGAATACGTCGAACTGTCTCCTTGATGAGAGACTCAATTTGAAACTCTCTGATTTCGGCCGTGCGACTACCATTGGGCAGCTATTGGAACACTCTCGTGCTCCCTGGGCCATGCAGCTGGCTGCCGGGCCATTACAGGGTACATATGGTCTCTGCTCTGCTAGAACAGAGCAATTTGCAGTTGGCTCCCTCCTCTATTACATGGTCTACGGTCACAAACCTTATGAAGATATCAATCTAGATTGGCCAGAATTAGGAACTCGATTCGAGCAACTGAAAATTCCCCGAGCTAAATCGCCATGAAATTTTCGATGGCCTTATGCTCGGCTGCTGGTATAATGTTTACCCTACCATGGCGCTGGTAGCGTATGATTTCGAGCGCAAAACAAAAGACTTTGCATCAACCATGGAATATGAGACCACTGACCGCCTGCAGGGAGAGAAAAACCTGCGAGGCGCTGGTACGAAAAGGGATACTGGGTCCTGAGTTAGCACTTCGCTACCAGCCACTCTGGAAAAAGTATCCGCATGCTTTGAAAAGTACGTTTGTTTGGCACTACTTGGTTGGCCTTCCAAGGAGAGTCTGGTTTTGGTCCTGGTTTTGATCCTGGGGTTCGGCTGCAGGAAAAGGGTTTGGCACAACCTAGTAAAACAGACCATGTCACCATGTGCATTATATCATCTTCATCTTCTAGAGTAACTCTCTGTAGATATGGGATATGGCCCGTTACACATTTCATTTCTGCAGATGCGTACGGCGTAGCTTGGGATAACTAACCTGTCATGTGATGCGACTCCCGCCCGGTTCAACGCGATGGCCAGAATTACACGCTGTAAATCGCCGGTACAACGACGACGGCGGCGGCGGCCAAACACGAGTCCTGGGTAGACGAGACGGAGAAGACGATGGCTCAATTCAACAGATACCCGTACTTCCACCCGACATGCCCACTCTGCCAGCTACCATCTCTTCCCCCTACACCAGTCACGCTACTTCGACACTCTCCAGGAACAGCCCCAGCACATAGACGGCTGTGTCTTCGTCCAGGCCGTTCTCTTCCAACCCAAACGGTTTCCGGGCGTCAGATACACCGACAGGGCGGTGCTCATCCACTGCCGCTCTCTCTCCATCATCAGCCACTTGGGGCCCGGCAGCATTCAGCCGGTTGCTCGACCTGATAGAACCTACCTTCTTGCCCCCCTCGACAGGACCGGCAGCTGATCACGGTGGCTTTTATTTCGATGGTCCCAATAATAGTACCACTAATAGTGCAGGTATAGATATAGATGTCAAAAAGAGGATGTCTAAACTCTCCACTGAAGCATGGGAATTGATATCAAAGTATGATGTGGGCAGACTGGAGTTCCTCGTTAGGCTGGCAGCCCAGCTTCAGCCTCTATCTACCTCTCCTCTACTCATATCGGACTCCAGGTCCGAGTTCAAAACTGTAGATGTACGCGGGGACACTGTCAGAATTCATCTTGTGCGGGTTGGTGGTCGTGTGTACATCAGCCATCTCTCAGATCCTGACGAGGATGCTACCAAAAAGCATGATAGAAATACCCTGCTATATAGGGACTACTGGTTTGGAGACAGCAAATTTCTAGCCGTCAAGACTGACAGTATTGGCGTGGTTGATATAGCTCTGGATGAAAGTGGTGGTCGATCGAACTGGATATTCCACCATCCCACTGCGCCCTTTCAAAAGCAGATATCCAGAGTCAGAAATGCTGATCTACATACACTACGCCTTGTTTGTGATGTATCCTACTCTTATAATCCCGTTCACACTTATACCCTACTAACCAATCTTCCAGTCGATGAAATGTCGAGCCATACTGCCCACCAACAGAATTGGTGTTGTGCCTTACTTCGACGCAGACAATAGTTTAGGGTCAACGACTCATGGCTTCCCGGCTTGCCACAGAACGGTATCCTTATCCAGAAGTTTATCCTCGACCGCGCCATTGGCATCTAGCTAGGCGAGACATTCCCGCTCGAACCAGTCCCTATCAGTGTTGTGAGGGACGAGTCTGCGTTCCAACTAATACCGGGTAACCAGATGTTGCTAGTTCCCGATTTATCCCTGTTCAAGGTGGTAACAAGCATGTCACTGCCTCGTCCTTTGTCCTAACGCTTCTGGCCTCTATTATCCATATCTAGATCTGGTTGAGGCTGAGTTTAATCTATGGAATGTTTTGGTGCGGGATCAGGGATTCGGGGGCGCTAGTAAAAAAAAAAAGATATCGATTGACCCCACAACGAAAACCACGCTTTGATCAAATTGACAAAGGATACCGACGAGAATGAAAGTTGAGAGAAAAAAAACCTCGATCTAGACTCTAGACGGTATGAGTTACGAATGATGAATTTCATGTACGATAGATACGACGACTTTTTTGTGAAGAACGGCAATACACAAGAGTGAAAATTCTAACATTTTGCCTCTCAAGTGAGTAAGTATCCAACCAAAAAACGTCCTGTATTCTGTCTACCACGTTAATAATACAACAATGGCAATATCATAGTCACTCAAGAAGAACTACATCTCTCTTATCACCACCCTCGCCATCCGCCTTCTGACCCTGCCCGCCTTCATCTTCCCACTCTTCTTCTCCGAGTAGTTCCCACTCTGCATTGGCCATCTCGCCTAATAAGGTGGATTTCAACCTGTCTGCAATCTTCGTGGGAGATGGCAACTTCCACGTTTTCATAAATTCCATTCCTTCCAATGAGCCGAGAAAGGTATGTGCCGAGCCATGTGAGAAGTGACCGAGTATTGGCAGGGATCGCGTTCGTCGTAGGCCATTCTCACCCTCCTTCTCATGTGTGTTTGCACTCGTGTTAGCGTCATTGTTTGCTTGTTCACTTACCAAGGCTTTGACAAGTGGTTCGGGAGCAACTAGAAGTTGCCAGAGGTTCCTACCAATATCACAGACGTCTTCCCATGACTCAGAGCCTAGATGTAGACCCTGAGTTCGGCATAGCCAGGATACATCCCACGCCAGTAGAGACACGCCTTCTATGAAGAGTGCGTAGCCCGTAGGATCTTCCTTGGCAAGTTTAGGCAGCGATCGGTCAATAAAGAGCGGTCGAGGGCGTGGGAGGAGCATTGCCTCTGCGTTTCGAGCATTGTGCATTGATTGGGTGGGAGAGAGGTTGGGCGAAGAGCTGAGAGAGTCCTGCCGGCGTGGCATGTAAGATGATGAAGGTGTATATATTGCCGGCAAAGGATGGCCGCGGTGAGGCACCATCACTTCTGCAGGGAGTCTTAACCCAAGATAATGCGATACCAATACTAGCATCCGGGCGAGATTCTCTAGAGATGCAGTTATATGTGCGGGATTTGCACCTACAATCCATCAGTTAGCGACGTGTATATGTGAGCAAGATGGCCTATGCTTACTATTCATCTGGCGAAGATCGACAATGTTGACGCCTCCAATGGAAAACTGGTTCATGAAATCTCCCTTCTTCCGCCTCGTTCTCTGACGGAAGCCGAAAAGACTAGCTACCTCCCGACTAAGGAACGCCCGCGACTCTACCGCCTTCTCATGTACGCTGTTCCACTGTTTCTCCTTGCCCTTGATGCTCTTCTGGACGGTTGCCAAAGCTCGAGCCCGCCGGCTAGCCACCTCATAGTTAGCTGATTCTGCATCAGATCGTCGCTGAGCCAGAGCTGCTCGTCGCCTAGCAATCTCCTTCTTCCCATCTGCAATCTCTTTCTCCAGCGTAGATACGTGAGACCGTATATCTTCCATTCTCGCAGTGGACTGCGATATAGCGGTGCGCTTTGTCTGCATCAACAACCTTGAGGGTTCCGGCTCAGCTCCACCAACATCCTTAGAGAGTCGCGGAATATCACCGTCGCTTGACAGTATCTCTGCGTTCTCCCGCGCATTCCTCGCTATCGACGCTTCGATCTGCACTCCTGCTGCATCCTTGTCCAGCAGCACTCTCGCATGGTTGTAACGTAGCCCGTATAGCTGGTTACGGGCGCAGGTTGGGCAGTAAAATCCCAGCCGTGAACTAGGCGGCTGCGAACATACGTGGCAACCCATATCAGGTAATCCTTAGCAGCTTCGTCGTACTCAGGCTTCCAAAGCCTCTCCAATCCAAGCCGGTTGTGCTTTTTCGCCGGACCCCAGGGAGCAGCGTTGAACCACTGAACATGTATTGGGTCATGGCTTGGGGCCGTAAGAAGCAAATATCTCTCTTATTTATCGTAGTTCCCGGAGGTGCCTTGTCATGATATCAACCCGTGACAGTCCACAAAAGCGCCGTTTCATTCTCCGTCTTCCGTGATCGTTGTCGGTGAGCTTCCAACGTTGTTGATATCATATGTCGTCGACACGATGATGTCACCTGATCCAGGCAGGCGATCGCACAACTGCCGAAACCGTAAAGTTTGTCTTGTTTGCATTGTGTAGCGTCTATCAAACATGCCGAAAAGGGAAGCCTTCGGTACATCGCGGGTTCAAAACGTCTGATATCAAAATATTGTATTAACACTTGAATAGTTGGACAGACCTAAAGGGCAGAACAGCTTGTTGCAATGAACACAGACACCGAGACAGAAGACAGGAGTGGAACACCCGTGCCAGGCTCTTCCCTTGATCCAGATTCCCCCATGGTGGACTCCCCCATTTACCCCCGGAGCCCAAAGATCAACATGGCTTCAAGGGAGGTAGAAGAAGAAGAAGGGGAGGAGGAGGAAGACGATGATGAAGAAGCATTCGTTACAGTTGCACCTGCTTCTGCGTCACCTACCAAAGAAACTGTGATTGAAGCCATGGTAGAGCCCAGGACGGAGCCCAGGCCTCGTCCAAAGAAATCACTTATACCCACTCCCAAATCAAAACAGGTCCCTAAATACATACCTAAACAAACACCCAAACAAACAAACAAACCCTGTCCTGGGAAGGACGATGGTCTCTCTGGCTTAGCCCGTGAACTGGAAGGCTGTACATGGGAACAATTGCAACAACGGTTCGCTGAAGAGATGGACGAAAGGTCTAGAGCTGAGAATATTCTGCAAAAAGAGACAGCTGATCTCCTTGAAGTTAGTCTCGGTCATTAACTACGGTTCAATGCTTTGTTCTAACTGGCCTTTGTTTGCTTGCTGCGTAGGTATTCATGGCGTGGTCACAGACAACCACGTTCCGAGACGAAGATAGAGCGTATAAGAGGTTTGTGAAGCCTGTCTGAATACCTCCTCAGAACATAGCATAGCAAACTAACCAAAACCAGGTTTAAAACTCGGATGGATCATGTCCAGAAGTCAGAAACAAACTTGGAAGAAAAGAAAGTACATTGTACGTCAAATCCCGTTATAATCGCAGCTTAACTATCCTAACCTGGTATACAGATGCCAATGTGGTCAAAGCATTTGAAAGCGCTCTTGCCCTTCTACGGACTGAATGAAAATAGTCGACATAAGATGAATAAGTATTTAATGTATATTATGAAGTTTCCTCCGGGATTATGAATATGGACATGTAGAATATTGTCCTAGTTATGAAAGAAGCCCTCAGGGCCGGGTATGTAATAATGCAGCAAGTTGTTCCGGCCGTTCCATCCATCCTCATCCTCCAACCCACCATTATAAACCATCCGCATTATAGACCATCCGCCCAAAGTTTCATAAGCCTCAATGGCCGTCATGATATCCATTATCACGGGATCCCCTACCTGCAGCGGCAGGGTGTCGTTCAGGTGCTCTGCCCATGATATCTTCCCATGTAGCACCGAACCTCCTCCCCGTAGAGGCAAGCAGTCCCTCTTCTTCGGCTTCCTCTGCGTCCTCGTCCAGTTGCTGCTCATCAAGTCTCGGAGTCCTGAAGAGCATGGTGACAAAGACAATGAGTGACATACCTATGGTAGTGACATTAGCGGTAAACTCAATACTCGTTTAAATGAAGAGATGTCCTTACCTAGGAAAGCAAACTGTGCCCAGAAATTAACCATGCCGAAGAATGGGTAGTTAAGCGTTATACGGTTCAAGAAGACGCTAACGACGCTGGGTGTACAGACGTCCTTAGCCGAGTGGTTTTCTGTCAATTCAGAACAGGGCTTGACGTCCTGAGGCCTGTGTTCGCAGCTTAAACTGTGTTCACCATGGTCGGATGGAGTGTCACAGAATGTCTGTGGGCCATATGTCGCATACTGAGGTGCCACCATCATGGATATAGAGAAGTTAAGGGCAAGAATGATAAGGGCAAGCATCACAGTGGCAAGTAGTAAAGCCTGAGGAGTGGTGTGCCCCTTTCGTATACCGAAAATTCTAACCCATAGGAATCGAATGCCGACGGTTGCGACACCAACAACGGAGCTGCTGAAAAAGTGTAACACTAGCACTATGAAAAGCACATAGTCGATGGGAAAGACTTTCGCGGATTGAAGAAGGGCCCAATTAATAGGGTTGAACACGTTAACCTTTGCTAGGATATAACCACAATTGTGTTTGCAAATAGAATTCGTCGCCTTGTCGATCCCCGTCAGTAGCATCGAGACCCAGATCACGATTGAAAGTAGGAGCAGGAGCAGTCCCCCGAGAAGTTTAATCGGACGAAATACGGCCTCTATTTTGTGCCACGCTTTAACTAAAAAGCTTCTTCCGTCACCTGCATTGGATTCCGCAAGGCGTTGTCGACGTCTCAAGGTGCGCTCCTCGCGAACGAGCGAGTCAAGCTCCCGTCGCTCCTTCGACGATAAATGATCAAGGTTACCTCCACATCTCCCTTCGAGCTGACGTTGGCGTTCAACATTCTCCTCTAGCCTCGATGCAGTTGTCGCGTATAGAGACGGACTAGAGACCGAGGGGGCTGTTTTGATAAACGACACCGGGAAGAGTGCAAGGCCAGCTGAGGTGTAAAGCACGTAAACAATGATTCCGATCATTGTTAGCAAGCCAAGAGCAAACGTCAACGCTCTTTCGCCGTCTAAATTGTACAAAGAAAGGTCAGATTAATTTGTCGCTAACAAGTGAAATTCACAACAAATACGCACTATTCTCTGTGAGCAAATGTTTGAAGTAGTCAAGATCAAGCCCTGCTCCAGCTCTATTTCGAGCAACCGGAACGAAAAATCCGACCAGGAATAGGATCACCGTAACGACAAGGAACGCAATCGTGTAGCGAAAAGCGCCCCAGAATCTCTTTCCGAAGGCATTCCAGTCCTGCTGTTCGGCAAGCTCGTCATATTCCTCGTACCAGAAGTACGTGAACGGAATAACGAGCAAGCAGAGGATGGTATCAAGCGAGTAAAGAGAGTAATAGACGATCGTGAGAGATTGCACGATACTGGCAACGGCATCCGGAGTTGCCCAATCTTTCCTCTGGCCCAGTCTGCGCGAGTTGGTAGATGATATCAAGGCAATATCCACAGGTAAGAGTAAAACGGTAGCTAGCAAAGCTGACACGGTGAGAATGCACACGGCGGATACCAGGCCTGATCGCTCTCTCGGCGCCTGGTAAACATAGACAAAGACTGAAGCTATCGCGATCAAGATCGCGACCACAACAGCATACACGATCCAGATGAGGCTGGACTGGAGAAGGGTCATCTTGCGTGTGCTGAACTGGCAGAATATCTTTACACGGCGTTCAAGCAAACCAAATCCGTCAAAAATAACTGGCAAAGAGGCGCTATTCTAACATCGTTCATGCCGTCCGCTGAGGTTGTCGTTGGCGTCTTTGGCTGTTTGTTTCAAGCTTCATTTCTTGGTCAGTTTGTCGTCATAATCACGTGAGGTCTGCCGAGGTTGCGGCTCTTTTAAGCTCCTTCGTTAATGAAGAAAAAAGATATAAATCTACATCCGCTGTCAACGGCCAAAAAAGAAAGATTTACTTTCTTGCCACGGATTCAGACACGTCAGGATACTCGTGGAAGTGCTTGCGTAGCGTCACATTACGAACAGATCTCCCTTTTACCTTGCCTTTTGACGAGTAGTTTGAATGAACTACTCGCAGAAGCGCGGCGCTCTGCTCGAACAGGGATACCCCAGCGTGGATTCGCATCTTTCTAGGAATTTAAAAGGGGGAAATAAGTGGAGCTTCGAGATGCATCAAAAACCGAACGGAATTCCCCAGAAGAAGGCTAAATATTTCGGTGAAAGCTCGCCTCATGATCTTAGGGACCTGGAGCGAAATGCAGCAAAGGCAACGCAATGCCAGCTAGCCAAGGCTGCCTCCTTCCTTGAGCAAGCGTTTACTGGCGTGAAGACTGCTTGGTTTGGGGGATGGGCTCTAAATCTTCGTGGATCACTTCGGGAGACACACGATCTTAGTCTCCTTATTCTTGCCAAAGACACACCCGAGATAAGGTCTATCCTAGAACAATACAAATGGTATGACCTTGCTGCAAATCGGTAAATCTATGGCTAAACTTAAAACAGGGCATTACTATCATTTCACCTCGTCCCCAGCACTGTTCAAGAGAGACTCTTTGTTGATATTGGAGAGGAGGGTCAGGTTGTTGGTGCAAATATCACCCTTTCAGGTTAGATATATTCAACCCCAAGTGTCCCACTAGTGGTTATCCTATCATGTATACTGACCTCCATTTTTTTTAACAGGCGAATTAGGTACACCAAAGCTCGACGAAGCAGAATCTTACGAGCTTATAACCCCAGCATTCCCTACACCGCAAGGTAGTCGGGTCAAAGTCATCCATATCACATGGCAAGTTGAGACAAAACTCACCGCATGGTTTTCGAACAGAAAACTCTCCGATCTTTTAGATCTGCAGTTCTTGCTAGACACCTATAAGAACGAAATTTCCAGGTGGAGTCAATTTCTAGACAAGGACATGCGAGAGACCTTCTATGCAGTCTATATAGCTGCAGTGGAGGACGAGGAAAAGTGCAAAGTAGCAAAGGAGACCCTCTCTCTGTAATCCCAAACATACATCTACCGTGGAAGGCCCTTAAGCTTCTCCAACCTCTAACGTATAGTTTTGGTATGATGGTGGCTGGTGGGTGAACGGCGGTCGCAAGAGGGCTCCCGCGCGCTTATTTGCCGATCAGACGTAGACAAACTTAAACAACTCTTTTCTTTGTGAAATTCAGGGGTAAAACTCAGAAGCGAAAGCATTGATATAGTTGGGACATGAAGCAAAGGAAACTCGCTTTACAATCTTGATAACTAGTTAATTCAAGTGTGTTTGCCCACCCTTGGAAAATCCCAGGCATTGTGTTTGGCGAAGGCTCCAAAACTAGTTTTAAGGGCCAGGAGGGCTATTCTTGTTTCCAAGTGATCAACAACACGCCAGGTCCCGCTACCAGGCAAGCCTCTGGTTCCAGGACAGTTAATAAGGCAAAATGCCTGTGCCAGTTCGCCTTCTTACTACCAAATTTTTCTATGCCACCGGTAACACTCCTGCGGTGTGCCTTACGCACTCTCTCCCGCCAGATCAGGATGTGTCTCTACTACCCTTGGATGCGGTGATGCTCGCAATGTGCTTTTCACAGCATACGCTGACCTGGGTTCAGGTAAAGTCAGCAAGTTTTCAAAAAAGATTATGTTAACTTTGCGGCTGTTAAGACATAACTGCTCTAGGGAATCGAAAGGTAGATGTTACCTGTTGTGACTTGGAAGCAGAGATTATCGGTATACAACCACCACGCGTTCCTTGCTGCTCCCGCGCGTTGCTGATCCACAATAGCTCGAAATGTGTTACTCTACACTCTCATTATCGACAGTACGAACGACACGAATATTGAGGATATATGGAATATCTACAATAATGTTTTGGTCAATGACACAGCCCTGGCTCTGCTACGCAGCCAGGCAAAGAAACTTGTTGAAAATAGCAAGAGTCTTTCTGACTGGAACAGGGGGAAATATGGCAAAACTCTCCGATTCTGCACCCAGGCTACATATTCTTGTGTTGTGCATATGTGGAAATTCTATGCACTAGACCCCTCGGATGGGCTCGTTTTCGAAGATCAGCAGAAAAAGCTCGAACTGAGTATACAGAAGGCCAGAGACCTAAAGAAACAAATCGTTGGAACTACACGAGTTGCAACCGGGATTCGCTCCGCTGCACCTTGCGACTTTACTAAAATCGATGAAAGTCATGATTTCTATGACCAGTTTTGGAGGGAGGGGGCTATTACGCCAGGCATGAGCTCTTTTCTCAAAGCAACTCACATGAATCCAATGATTTGGACACGGAGCCAAAGGCTAGTACTTCACTATGGCACTCAACCGTTATTAGGATTTCACCTAGCTACCGCATACTCCCCCCTTGCAAAGGAATCCCCTTTGAACTATACCTCCGATGGCCTGGGTGACACACCCGCTGCTGTCAGAGCAGCATTCACTCAATTCCGTACCTATGTAAAAGCATTTCATGCTCTATCTTCAAAGTGGATTCTTCGTTTTGTATGTGCTGACGCCCTGGTATTTTGCCATACACTTCAAGCCCAAAGGTATGGTACGGCTACCCGTCAGGAATATAGTGACAACTGGCATTTTGAACCTTTTATCCTTGACCCACATGAATACTCTGGACAGGGAACTGGAGCTCCAGCCTTATTTGATGCCATTGATACCTCGAATTTGGCGGACCATCTTGGAGCATTGAACATTCTAGCTGCAACCGGCCCCTTGTTGAAGGCAAAGCCCACGTCAACTATTTCTACAGAGCTATTAGTTTCACGGGGAAGAGACACAGATTATATCAAATCGCTTCTGCTCGGGGATATGGTGACTATTGGCTCCTTGTTCAAACTCACCCCAAATCAATATTGGAGCGGCACGAGTGTGTCGTCTAACTTCATGGAGAGAATGTTTGGAGCAATTAATGAGGATACCTGCCAGGAACGTTATGTTGTGCGATGGACCCGACTGGTTGCGGAACCCATCACCTATGACCCGAAACAACTCTCCCGGCTGATGTACTCAATGTACCTTTCTATGTTTGAGGACGAAAACCCAGCCAATCTTCTGAGATTAAAGCAGGATAGGGTAGTTTTCGATGAGTACAAAGCCTACACGAGGGCAAGCCTTTGTTGCATCTTGCAGGCTATACAGAGGTCAAATGTTGTGAATTGGCAGGCTTTCATCGACCAATTATTCGGGCTAATAAATCAAGATTCCAACCTGCTTATGGGCGCTCATTATCTCCAAGAGCTTTATGTACACATCCATATTTCAGGCCTGCATACGTCTCTAAGTCTCAACCCTGGTCAGGATAGCATAATGGCTCGGTTACCACAAAGCGCCTTTAGAAATTGGACTAACATTCCCCCGACATTATCAGTCACATTGGCCATCCCCCATGAGAAGCTCTCATTATTTATGGAGAAGCCAGTGAACAAATATGGAACCCCAATATGCCAGCTTATGTTTGACTCACAAGCCGGGCAAAGTATTTTTGCGGATATGCAACTGGGCTTTGGGGAAGTACAGGCATCAGGCACGAAATACACAGAAGAATATATAATTGAAATTAGCAAAGATGAAAGGGGATGGGACGGGACCGCACCCCTCTTCGCTTCCGTGATGGTTCCTACGGCTTTAGTTCTCCTCAACCCGGACCTCTCGACTAATATTTTCTTTGGGTTAAAAACGAGTCCCGTCACTGTCCAGTTGGTGGGGAAACTTGGGATGAACCTGGCCATCCACGAGTCTACATTAGCCAATAATGACGTTTATATTACTCGTTGTCGTCCAAATATGAGGCACCAAGTGACCGAGAATTCTGAGATAACCCCATTGACGAGCAGTGTGGTTTCTTCAGATTCACCTAAACATATGGAAGGAGTAGAGCTAACATTCCATTTGGAGCTCGGCTCTGACTGCTCAAAAGCCGTGCTTCTCACAACGCGCCTTGATGTCACATCACCTAAATATCAAGACATACTACGACAAGGCGCTGCAGTCCTCGTGGAGCAGATTTCCCCATACAAAATTAACGTCAAGTTAGGAGGAAAACCATTCCACTCCAATATCCGCCTTCCATTCCCCATATTGTCGGTAAATACGAAAACTAGGATTGCCCGGAAGTCCTCTTATCTTGAGTTTATTGCGCCAATAGCTTCGACTGGAGATCTTACCCAATGCCTCGACAATGTTTTCCCTATCGATCTCTATGAAAATGGCCCGATATTGAGAAACCTCGATTATACTGCACTCGACAAGCTGCCTATCCTCGATGTTCGGGACTCATCAAAGCTAGATTGGGTCAAATTACTCTCAAGTGATATGTTCAATGATAAAGAAGGGAAGGAAAAGAATAAACACCAGAACTGCGACTTTAATTCTTCCCCGGATGTGCGAGTGACATTCAAAAATACACTCTTTTCATTGTTTGGATATCTCAGTGGCGTTGGAGCAAAGGCCCAAATTACCGCTTTCGGCCTCGACAGTGAAACCAGTGGCGGAGTGAACATTATTGTTCTCATGTCTTCTTTAAGACTGGAGTCCGCCAACCAAAGCATGGTCATTGACGCAGCGGTGATCCCTCTTACCATAGATCTTGTTATGGAGATGTATTCAAGCCTCCAGGGCCTAACTAACCGGGGTATGAAGACACTCAAGATCAGCGATAATGAGCTCCGCCTTTGGAAACATGTATTGCCTGCTTTTGTTGACCGGTGCCGGACCTGGAAGCATCTGCCGTCTTGTGAGTATATGTCTACCGGGAAAATACCCCTTTCCACGGATTGGGCACAGCCGATACTTTGTTCATGTGGTGAAGGTAAGTTTCCCAACGGCTATGAAATCCAGGGATTCCCGGAGTGGAAACATATCAAGAAATACGCCACCCGCGTCGCAATATCTCCTTGCTACTGGGTCCCGTTCCTGGATAAGGGATTCAATTTTGGTACAGAGGATGAGGAAGACAAGGAAGACAACCAGGACAGCAAGAAGCATAACAAGGAAGGGGTTTCCCAGATATTAGAGTCGCAATTAAAGTCGATGGATTTGAAGAAGGGATCGTGTTCAAATTGTGGAGGGAAGAAACCTGGAAGTGGAACGAAGTTGCTGAGGTGCAGTGGTTGCAAGGTAGCAGAGTATTGCTCAAAGGATTGCCAACGGGAGGACTGGAGGGCGAGGCACAAATTAGCTTGTAAAATGATGGCACGGATGAAATGAGCGTGGTTAGCTGAATGTTTAACAGCTCTCCTGTGTTTAAGACCTACCATCTGCTCGATAGTGTCACGCAGTCCAGTGGCTGTCTTAGGCGCCTCTTATATTGCTTGATGGTTTGCTCACATGAACTCTTCCCATCACGGCTGAATGATAGCATCAACTGTTCTGTAAGTGCGCAATTGCAATTGCCGAAGCTACCCCATACTGTTTCTCATAAACAAGCCTCTGAGAATGAAGACAACATCGTCACACAGATCTCCAACTAGATTGATGATATTCCATCTTCGTAACTATAAACAGGGTAAACACATCGGCGCTAACGAGAACTAGCCTCCGGTACGTGTATCCGATATCCGGCTTATGAATATCATCTCAAGTGTTTCGGTCTAATGAAGGTCAAACGTACCAAGCCCCATTTAGACTCCACTTCCAATCTTCGGATGCTTTGACAGTCGCTGCCAAAAACCACCCCACTGCACGATAACAATACGTTGTTTATAGGCCGGGTTAATTGATTAGGAAGGTTAGTGCGGTATGCATTAAATAGTTTGTCACATATTATTCAATTGAGAGAAAGGTGTGTTGGAGGGAGCGCGCCGTACCCCACGGCTCTAGTTATGTGCTCCGTGAATGCAACGGCGACATGGCTCATGCGCGCTAGATAACGGGAGGGCAAATCAAAACCAGAGTCTGGGTAGCCGACCCGTTAGTTATAGATATATTAATTTTTATATATAAAACCACATGACATCACTGTTGCCAGGGTTTCCGTGCATTCGTACAATAGCGTGTGATAGGATGATGAAGCTCTTTTTATCTCAGCAGCCGCGGACAGTGTTTCAATAGTGAGGACGGACGTCACAGGTCTCTCCATTAATATGCAGCAATTGTGTTTCTGTGTTTGAGGTCTAGTGGCCGGGTAAGGCGCCACTCCTAAGCTATTCATCCATGGCGCCGGTCACCGTTATTGATTCAGGTGTAACCGACCAATGCAGGTTCAACATCGGCCATGGCACCAAGCTTCCATCACCCTGACCTTGCTCAGGTACCCGAGGAGTAACCCGAAAGGTTTCCTGAGATCAGCCGTGGAACAGGAAACATGACCTGCATCCAGTATGGTTAGATATCCGAGTTACTCAGACCACGGGCCACAGTACTCCGTCGAGGTGGGTGTGGCGGTCTCCCGCCGACCTGAGTCCGCAATGCCGCCAGATAATGGCGAGGGCTTCTCGGACGAGGACATTAGACCTGGATGTATCTCTCCCGCAAGTACTCCGTACTCCGTCGTCTGTAACTAAGCGAGAAAGGGGGGGGATAACGGTCCGATTTGGGAGGACGGGATGAAACAAATCCATACGAGGATGCTCTCACACAGCTTCCTGGATAGTCAGCTCGCGTCCTACCGGGAGCTCTGAGCCCTGGAACGGGTGGAGCTTGGATATGTTTTCGTGATAGTTTTGAGTCAGACTCGCTGTGCAGCGTGCTTAGTGAGCGATAGCTGCGATCCCTGGCTCATAACAAGCTCCTTCGGCGGTGCTCGATGGCCGTGAAGCTGCGCTCGTTGACGTTGACCGTCGATGGAGGTCGAAAAGCCGGCGGTGAATGAAGGGAAAAGCCGCCCGCCGAAAAAGGGGAAGACACGTGATCACCGGCTTTTGACGACCTTCTTTTGCTTCTTCGACGTCGCGGAAAAGACAAACGACGACGACAACTCGCCTTTCTCACCTCACGCAGCCCATCTATCAACTCTGTTTGACAGCCCAGCGCCGGAGTAAACATGGAAACTTACGCTTGCGAGCGACGGTCCAGGATTGAGACGGCTGTCCACTCAGACGCGTTTGTCCACTCTGCAGATATCGCCGGGACGACTGGGGGGTGGAGCACCGTCCCGCGTGGTGGTAAGGAGACCAGTTTTCCCCTTCTTGGGTGTTGAAGGGCATACCCGGTCGACCTCCTTTTCCCTCTCTCTCTCTGGCTCATTGCTGCTGCTCTGGCGGCGAGCCCGTGGCATGAAATATGTAGCGAGTCCTCTCGCCTGGTTGCGTGGCTGAGACACAGGGAGCACAGAGTCTACATCTCCTGCAGCAGCATAACTAACCAACTAAGGAAAAGTCGAACAGAAAAAATAAATGCCGGAAAAGTTGCCTCTTGAGCACCGATACTTGGGCGCGGCATGCACCTGCGCGAACTCACCGCTTCTGCTGGCTCGTTGGGCACCGCTGCCAGGAACTTGCACGCCCTCAAGCCACTCACAAGGCGATCTCCAAGTATTGCATTGCTCTAGCGCTCCTTTACAGATGCATGACCATACATAGAGCTACGCCGACATGTATATTAAGAAAAGAAGCAAACGGACCTGCGGGTGCCAGAACGGAGATGGATGCTCTCCGTTTTACGGGTTCAGACTCTCTTACGCTGGATGTAAGTTTGCGCACGGAGGCAGCGAAACGTGGACGAATTGTACGGGATTGGCGACTCGGTCAACTTGACTCGGAGATGCAACGATGGCCAAACCATCCCAGTCCCTTGCATATTAGCTAAGGGAATGACACGCTTTATGGGGCACGGCTGCCCCCGCTTGTTCTGGAAGCCACAGGTCACGCAGGAGTTGGGTGTAGCCGGGCTCCCAAGGAGTTTCAGACCCGGCTTCTCCTCTCCAGTGGCCCAGTCCAGGTGTCGCCAAAATAGCTGTCCTTCCCTGTCCTTGCCAGCCTGGGGCAGACTACCCGGCTCTCTTTCTGCTCTTGTTTCCCTAGTCCGATATTTTTTTTTTTTTTTTTCTCTCTTCTCTCAATTGTACTCCGTAGGTTTTGATCTTATTTTCTTCTCCTTCCTCTCTATCTTTACCAGGCTGCCTGCACTCCTTTTCTGCGCTGCTGCGCTCCAGTCAATCCTTTCTTTCGCTCCTTTCCCCCTTTTCCTTCCTATACATAGCCGCCAGCTACTATGCGACTATTTGGATGAGGGAAGGGTCAAGACCCCAAGTCCGCTCCCCGCATAGTTATTATATTGCATCTTTTTCTCGGGCTTTCATTTCCGCTGCTTATCACGCACACCAGCCAACTGAGTTGTCTCCCACACCAGCATCACTCGTGGACCTCCAAAGATTCCAACATTTCTGATAAAGCATTATTCGTCATCTAGAGCACAGCAGCTCCTTCAGCCTCGTCAGACACCTCCCTCACCCCTTCGATTCGTATTGCATGCCCATACTGCTTTGATTGGCTGTCCGAGTTCGCCATTGCGTGCGGAAAGCAGTGCTTGATAGTCCACTCCTTTCTTTTGCTCCTGTCGCTCATTCACCCAGAAGGAAATAAAAATCTGTGCCTTTCTTTTGGGCAAAAGAAAGCAATTCTCGATACTATTTACTCAGAGGTCTTCTGATCATTCCCACCCTTGCCTATATCAGAATCTATCATGATACCCATCCACAAAAGGGGACCATCTGAGCTACTTTTATGGCACTAGACGTGCATTCCAATAACGAACAGAGTTTTGTCATCATTAGTATCAGCGTAGCGCCATAATATACGCTGTGAGTGAGCGGTTGATTCCGTCACTGGAACTGGCCATAGCTCGACCGCAAGAATGCCGGTTCGAAACCATCTGCGCAAGGAGGGACACCGAGGACAGCTATCACCGCTGTTCCCCCGTCATGAACTGAAGATATCTGGTCCTCTTCCACATCCCTTACCCGCCGCCTATGAGGCCGAGCCTCCTGTCACCCCGAACCTCTTGCCCATTACTCCAAACGTCGTGGCTTTTAATTCCTCTTTTATGAGCTCACCCCGCCAATCTCGCCAGCCTCCGCAAACACCAATTCAGTCCACTCATTCTGAGTCCTCACGCCCAGCGACATACCATCCACAACCGTCCCCAGGGGCACCTATGTCTCATACCCACCAGGAATCTCTTTCGAGCAATGTGTCTAATAGCTCTACCATGCACCGTCGACGAGGGAGCACCCTCAAAACGGTGATGCGGAAGATATTTGGCCGCAAATCACGAGACGAGCTTGATGATCTAAAATCTCCGCAAGAGATTCCCGAAATTTATCCTCAGTCACCGGAAGTCGCTAGCCTACGCGATGATGAAGAAGATGATGTAGCCGCACAACCTCCTGCTCGCTTTCACAGATCCTCTTCCCTCCCAAGCCTAAGAAATAGTCTCCAAAGAAGCCCCAAAAGCCCGGTCCGTGGCTTAGGTTCTCCTTCCCAACCATGGTCCTCATCGGAATTCCTAGACGTTCGGGTACATCGGAGACGAGCCACTCTGCCGAGTGTTGCGCTTTCTACAAAGGATGCCCTAGAGCTAGCCTCAAAAATTGATGCAGCTACTACACTTGACAAGAAAAGCTCAATCGGAAGCCTTGACGCTCTGACATTAAAAGTTGATAACCGCTATAAACGTCGGTCACGAAGTGCCTGCGATGTGCGAGATACTGCTAAATCGCATCGCATGTCCCCAATTCAATGGCGACGGAGAAATGATGAAATCAGATTCTGGAGAGAGAGTACCCTCAATGACTTTGCCGAACCTCGTCCCAACACTAGACCTGCGACATCTATATCAAGCCACATTGGTCCTGACGAGAAATTTGCGGACGCAAGTGAAGAGTCCGCTGATTGCCCCGTCGAAGAAGACGAATCTGATGACTCTGAGCCAAACGATGAAGAAGGGTTTGATTTCAAAAATTTGATGGAAAGCATGCAGACTGAGAATGAAGTCAGTTTAGCCCAGCGAGTAGGAACTCTTGAGGTCAAACTGATGGACTTGGAATTTGCAATTGCGAAACTACAAAACAGCAGTGCTGAAGCAAATACAGTCAAGAAGAAGGCTACAGGTTCCCCAGTCCGAGGGAGGCCTATGCAACCCATAAATGACTCCAGCCAGTTCATCAACTCATTCGTATCCACGCCCAGCATTACGCCACCTCAAGGATCCCCTGCCGAAATAGTACCGATGCAACACATCAGCCCGATTACGCTGTGCAACCACTCATTGGAATGTATCTCACAGTCACGGCGCCCTCCGTCACCTTATCGTACTGATTCGGGTTTCCAAGGTATATCCGTGGAACAGTACAGTGCTCTGACCACTCTCATGCGACGAGAACAATGCGCCAGAAAGTTACTAGAAAGCCAAATTCTCTCTATGCAACAGGAGATTCGGCGCCTCCAGACTGGAGAACCATGGAATCCAGGGCAAGGAAATTCATTTTTACGATCCTCAAGTCCCGACTCGCAGATGCTGCCAACCCCGTACCTTCACGACTCTCCAAGACAGGCACCGACAAACCCATGGAAACCGGCCCCTAATATTGAATCATCTCAAAATGACAGCAGTTCAATAAATAGCTATCGGCATAACTCGGACTCAAGCCGTTATAATACATACCACCGATCTCGAAATGACTATTCTCTACCCCATAACAATCATATTCCGGGGATGATATAGTAATGACCAAATGTACCCACCCTCGACTTGCGTATGAATTGACCATGCTTCGTCCCTCATAATTTCCAATGTCGATATTTGATTTCTTTACATGTTTTTTTCCTCGTTATATTTTACTTCTCTCTCCAGCCATGATTTTTCACTTGTATTACTCACATATACCTCCTTTCATTTGTTTACCATTATATCCAACCTGCTCCTCTTTCCTATGTTGCATTCGCTTCAGATACCCAATACCAAGTTGCACCCATGAATTTCTTGATTATTTGACTGCAGTATTTTTTAATTATGGGCGAGTCTGAGACCTACCTATCTACACTTCCATTCTTTCTTTGGCTGGAATTCCTAGATATACCAGGCTAGCTCCGTGGTTCAAATAGTGGTGAAATTAATATAAACTTCTTGCTCTCAACATGCCTTATTATATCAACTGCATCTTTTTCGCCGTAGATCTAATGGGTTAGCTCACCGGATAATGTTTGTATGGCACTCATACGCGATTTCCAGCTGGTGAATCCAACTCTTGCTTGCGTACGGAAATTTTGTTATCCTCAATAACCATGCAAACAATGCAAACATACAACATTTCGTTCATCTTGAATATCAAATCGGAACGTTCACATATCTTCAACAACGAGCCCGTCAGACAACATATCAGATGCCTCGATTACACAGCATATTCCCGATCTCATGAGTTCTCAAATCACTCCCGTCACGGCCGCTGGCCCAGCGTCCCAGCCTGAAGCCAAACTTACCGTCCAATCCCACCCCCCCATCCGCATACTCTCCAACCCAACTGCGCAGGCATACTCGCATCTCCACCCGGTCCTAACAGGATCTATCTTCGCTCTTCGATTCAATGCCCTGGTTTCTGACCCAGTGACTACCCTGTCTACTCTTCTGCCAGTATTTGCGGTGCTGCAGATAATATATGTCATTATATGTTTACCTGCTGCGGGCGCAGCTCTCGGAAGCTCAAATAAGGCGCGTTCCAGTGGGAAGATAGGGCCAGGCTCCAAGCGGAAAGACCAAGAGACTTCAATTGGCTCCAGGGTTGTTGTAAGTGATCTCCTCCAATGCTATTTCTTTGAGACGTTTCGTCCATTCAGTATTGCCGGAATTGTCGTTAATTATCATGTGTGTAGCCTGCCATTCTCTCTCTGAGTCTTCCACTGGTCCTGGGAACTCCAGCCCTTGCTATCCTCCTCGTTTTGTTCGGTGCCCCTTTTACAACCCATTTACCACATACTGCTCTATGTGCAGCTCACATGTCGATTCTTGGGGGTACTGGCCTGGTATACGTCCATGGGACAGATGTGGCTGTTTGGCGTGAAATATGGAGTATATCTAAGGCCTTTGATACCGTGTGGGGTGGTACTATCGGTATGGCATTGGGCGCATGGCTAGGTGCCGTGCCTATTCCACTAGATTGGTAAGAATACGACTTACACCCTTCCTATTTACATCTATAGGCTCTAATATGCAAATTAATACTAATATATTCGCGGTTAGGGATCGCCCATGGCAAACCTATCCAATTACGATTATCGCCGGAGCTTGCATCGGATATGTGCTCGGTTGTTGGGCCGGGAGACTACCTTTTCTATATGGGAAAAGAATACAGTTTAGTGAGGAAGAAGTATAAGAAGCAACCCCGGAAAAGAAGGCTATATAACTAGGTGGTTTTAGATAGATAGAATCTCCTTACTTAGGTTTGTGGTTGTGACTTGTACGTGTACTTCACCAGGGCATATTTTTGATGGCTAATATTCATAGAATAAGGTACGGTGGAATGAATTTTAATGGTTTTATATCACTAAACATATTCCATGAATCAGGAGTAACTAATACGAATTAACGGGTATTCAAAAACTCTAACAGCTCTTGGTTTTCTTCAAAATATTGTCAACGACCTTCCCAATAGCCCAAATCTTCTCTTCTTCATGCTTTCGGCTAATAAATTGCATACCAACCGGGGTCCCGTCGAACAATTCAGGGTTGTCTAATCATACAACAGTTAGCTTGTGTACCGTTTGATCTAACTCCCGAGATATTGTGATTCATACATAACTCCCAATTTACTTTGTCAAGTTCACTAATAGGTTCATAATCAGGGTTCGCAATATCGACATTCTTATCCGCGATAGTGACAGGAACTACGGAGACACTGTAGTCCAAAAGGTTGATGGCCTGGGTGTATGCTGGAGTTTGAAGAAATTGAGCATGATGCCGTGTTAATTTTAGGTGAAGTATCTTACCTGTATGGTAATATTTGGTTGGAATAACCGCTGCCCACGGCGCCAATGGAGCAATAATAGCATCCACAACTTGCCCTATTAGTTGGAAGTTTATGCCAGGTGAGTATGTCAGATGAACAAAATCAATGACCAGTCCAATGGATGCATCACTTACCGTCATCTTGGGCAGTCGAGTTCCAATAATCAGCGTACGCTTCGGCATATTCAATGCCCTGGAGAATCAGATCCTGATACTCCAAAAGAGGTAGTGGCTCTTTGTCCTCAAGAAGCATCTTAATCTGGGGAATGGGTGGCTCCCCAGACAGGCCAAGTTGCTTCTTGATGTCATTACCGCCATCTGCTGACATGAACCCCAGCTATCATGTTCCTTATTAGAGAAAGCTAACCATGAGCCAATGGTGAGAACTTACGTGAATTTTAATGGCAGTGCTATGCGGCGGTGGGTTCCAAGAGACAACCTTATGCCCGGCCTTTTTGAGTGCATCTTCGAGGACATGAAGCCCTCTTGTGACCGGAGGATGGGGGGTTACTATATTATCTGTATAAAGGATACCAAACTTGAGTGATTTCTGATCACTCTTTGCAGAACCATCTGGAGTAACCCTGGCAAGAATTTCGGCTACAATATCGTCTCTCCATGGGACACTGAAAACGACTGGATCCCGGAGCCACGGTTGGGTAGAAAGGATGGATTTCATCATTAACTGGATGGAATCGTGAGACGTTGATAAAACTCCAATGGAGGAAGAATATGTGTTTTGCCCGGGGTTCTATTCATGGAGAGTTAACCTTTGGAGATTATGGTCCGGTTCAACACCTCACATATCAAACTTACGGTGTTGGCAACATCTCTGTATGGAAGTCGGTCATGACTGGGCTTCAGTCCATAGACACCACAAAATCCAGCAGGAACTCGAACAGACCCCCCTATGCCAGCGGTGATCAGTTCACTAAGAAGTTTTCACATAGAACTGATAAAAGATATCTATTCCATACCAAAGTCAGTTCCGAGCCCAACAGAGCTGGCTCCAAGGGCAAGCATCACTCCCTCTCCTAGTTGGGATGCGTGTTAGTCTACGGACATCGATAAAAGCCGCCTGAGTATACCTCCTGATGAACCACCACACGAGAGGTTGTTGTTCCATGGGTTTAGAACACGGCCGATGATATGGTTCTCAGTTTCCCCGATCTATGCAATAGTTCAGTCAACAGAGACGCCTTTAGCGATACCAGATAGTCAGTGAACATACTAGAAGTGATTGTGGGACGCTTGTCTACAAGAAAATTAGCTTATCAGGACATATTGTTGGAGGGTATGTTCCTATATACCTTGCAGTATAGCACAGCTCCAAGTGAAAGAAGATCCGTGACAATCGGGCTATCGAAGTTATGCACCTTATCAGAGCCTTTGTCTCCCTCAAATGTATCGATCCAGCCAACATAGCCCATGGTGGTATCATTTCCTTTTACATGGAATTGGTCCTTGAGACTTATGGGCAGGCCGTGTAGTGGTCCCATGGTCTTCCCATGCCTCTCCACATAGTCATCCAGATACTTTGCTCTCTCAAGTGCCTGGTCAAAGAACACTTCATGGAGACATGAGGTCTATAACAGTATCAGGGTCGAGCATAAACACACTAGAGAATCACAATATTTACTCACCATCTGGTGGGCAACGGCAGCAGCCTTGCAGTACGCTTCTGCGACTTGAAGAGCAGAGTACTCCTTGCTCTTGATCTTGCTCACGATCTCGGTGCTCTCTTCGCCGGTAATCTTCCTCTCCTCCTCGGTAAGAAAGCCCTGGAAATATGCACCGGCTAGCTGTCTCTGGGTTTTTGCATCATTGATCTGCTCTTCGGTGAGACGCCATTCCTCCGGGATCTTTGCCACAGTCACTGCTCGTTTGACTGCCGCTTTCTCCTCCCATGCCTCTGGTTCTTTCACCATAATGTTAGATGTCGTAATTTGGTAGTTAGAGAATTCGTCCAACTACGGCTGTCGGTCCTTATTTGCACTGATATTCACCCATGTGATGCTTCGAACTGGGAGCTTTTATAATATCTGACAAGGCCGAGGGGTAATACCCAGTAGCAGAGTGGGACGAACGCCGTCGACAGGGAAGATATGCATAATCAGTGATCCTGGCAATGTACATTTCGTATAGCTAACTATTAGTACGAGGTAACTAGTGACGATGAAGAGTGTCGTCTTTCAAGCATCACGCAATAAATGCACACGACAAGCGTAAGCTTCTTACATTTAGACACTCAAAGAATAGCTAGGCGATAGATCTTACACCAATAATCAGTACGTATTCACGAGCTAACTATTGCATTCAGGTCCATATCCTATATTAATGGCAATATTAATAGTAGACTTGTTATAGTTGGCTTACGAGTGGCTCATGACGTATTCAGCGTAATATGATATTAAGGCGTTATTTTGATATTTAAACAATTAGACACGAACGCTGGAGAAGATTTACTTGGTCATGTCGACGACGCATCGGATGCAGTCTCCAGCCTTCATCTCGTCGAAGGCAGTGTTGATTCTGGGCAGGTTCTCGCGGTGAGTGATGAATTCGTCCACCTTCAGCTTGCCATTGAGGTAGTCATCAACGAGGTCAGGAAGTTGAGTGCGCCCTTTGATCCCTCCAAAGGCGCATCCTTTCCACACACGGCCTGTGACGAGTTGGAATGCTATTGGGAGTACGTTAGTATGATAATATTGTGTATATCGTAATAGTCAATGGGTAACTCACGCCGAGTAGAAATCTCCTGTCCAGCAGCTGCGACACCGATAATGATGCTCTCGCCCCATCCCTTGTGGCAAGCCTCGAGGGCAGCTCGCATGACACCAACATTGCCAGTGCAGTCAAAGGTATAGTCACAGCCACCATCGGTGGTTTCAATCAGGTATTCCTGGATTGATTTGTTTCCTAGCTTGGAGGGGTTGACAAACTCAGTGGCGCCGAATTTGCGTGCCCATTCTTCCTTGGTGTCGTTCACATCAACAGCAATGATTCTACCAGCCTTGTTCTGGACAGCTCCCTGAATAACAGAGAGACCAACACATCCAGCACCGAACACAGCAACGTTCGAGCCTTCTTCCACTTTGGCAGTGACTGTTGCGGCTCCATAGCCGGTGGTAATGCCACATCCCAGAAGACAGGCCCTATCTAGCCCAATCTTGTCTGTGATCGCAACAACTGATATATCGGCCACAACGGTGTATTGAGAGAAAGTAGACGTTCCCATGAAGTGCAGCAGATCTTTTCCACGGGCTCTGAAGCGGGTAGTACCATCTGGCATAACACCACGGCCCTGGGTGGCTCGGATCTTTCCGCAAAGGTTCGTCTTGCCCGATTTGCAGAATTTACACTCTCTGCATTCGGGCGTGCTGCATCGTGGGGATAAATGATTAGCTCTTCAATCCTCTATGCAGAATGTCGGCATTAAACAGAGGATTGGCGTACTATAGCGCGATGACCCTATCACCGGGTTTCACGGAGGTGACGCCCTCGCCAACCGACTCAACAATACCAGCACCCTCATGGCCAAGGACGATGGGAAATGCGCCCTCTGGGTCTTTTCCGGAAAGTGTGTACGCATCTTGAATATTCTGTCAGCTCACCCAATTCTTTATCAATGCCCCAGCTTGAAAGCATTATCTTTTCCTTATCCGGTCCCAGGAAGACGCACCAGTATGGCAAACTCCCGTATAATGAATCTGAATTCGGACCTCGTGAGCCTTTGGAGGATCTACCTCGATCTCTTCGATGGTCAACTCCTTTCCAGCCTCCCAGGCAACGGCAGCCTATTCCCGCAAGGTTGTCTTAGCGAAGCATTCTCGTAACCAATCTTCATTGTCGGTCCCTATGGGCTCCAATGTATACGGGTTTCTCCATAGCATCCACTCCTACTTCTTCAATTTCAATCATAGTATTGGGGATTCGGTCGTGCGGCTTACTTGACATTTGATGGTCTATGAAGTGGCAATCAGTTCTGCGTCTCCATCAACAGAGGGCGCGCCAAAGAAATTTAAGAGGACGACACTAGAGTATTAGACTTACCTTTCCAACAGTGCTCGCCATTTTTGTTCAATGTGCCTTGTTTGATGCAAAAAAATAAGTAAATATACATCCTGAGTGTATTGCAGCCGGCGAATTGCCGGAGACGGCTCCCGAGGACCAGTCTGCGTGGGACTCGGGATTGCAGCCAGAAGCCAGAGCTGAAACTCACCTATGAACCTTGTCTAGAGCCGATATTTAGTGATAAAAAAACGACAAAGTGCTGGGCCGACAGCTGAATATTCGGTGCAGCGTTGCTTGTTCTTCAGCTTGAAATGTTTGTTTGTATGAGGGGCAGCAAGTTTTGTAGTAAACTAGTGAGGGTGGGGAGTTTCGCCTCGTCATTTCGCCTCCAAACCGGGGCGGAAGCTGGGGAAACAATTCGGCCGCCGGGCACAGAAATTGATAGATGTCACAACTTGTCCAACAGCAACGGTCTATCAGCCCTGATTTGTTGGGTAGGAACTGCTGGTTTTGGCCTAAATTAGAAGTTAAACGTACTGCGTACTTGTAAGGGAAATGGGCGGTGGAGGTAGGAAACGCCGTGAATGCCGTCCTGGTGTATCATTGTAGAACGTCGAAGGATATGCAATATTGTACAGGAGACGAGCCGTCGTTGCCTTTCCAGACAGCTCGAATCAGTCATAACAAACAATAGCAAGAAACATGAAGAGCGTATATAGTAACAGCCACCAAAATCTTCACATATACCCAATATCCGATAACCAAAAGACTGGAACCATCGTTTTGATAATAGAATAAGAAGGCAGTTGACTATCGACTGCAGTATCAAACGTGATTCAAAGGCTGAATATTCGCATTCGATTTCTGGGGGTGAAATCACTCTCGAGGGAAAGACTATGTGGACTTCCGCTGGGTTCCGCATCCATCGGCGAGGACCAAGAAACCGCGGATTGTAATCGAAAAAGAGAGGATAAATGGAGATTCGGGGAAACAAGAAGAGATCGATTTAATTCGTTTAGCCCCTTCCGGGAATCGTGCCGGACTGGGCCATAGCAGCATTCTGCTCTTGGAAACGAAGAGTCACTCGCTCAGATGCCTTGACGAACTTGTCGAAGCAGCGATTGGTACAGCCGACCTCTCTTGGGGTCAACGATTTAGTTGTGAAATCGAAGATGCAGTCCTCGAAGCAACGCTGGACCACGTTTGAGTACGCCTGAGTACCAGTTTCAGGTCAGCTTTTGCCATTATATTATTGAACTTTGAGTCAAACAGAACAAAGGCCGTAACAGATATGGCAATTAATCCTCAACATACGTTCATGACCTCCTTCATCTGCTTCTGCTCCATGCGTTTTGAGAGCATCTGCTGCTCATTTTGGGTAAGGCTGTTTCGTTGCAAACACAGCGATTGTCAGTAAATCTTCAGTCAAGGTTAATCAAGGGCGGACATAGGTTCTTCGGGGGTAGTATACGAGTCCATGATGGTTTGCGCGTGTATTGCAGCTATTCAATTACTCGGTATTGATGATGTTTTGCTTGCTCGACTTTCAACTCCGAAGCTTCAACTTTTTTTCTTGCCTGGTTCCCAACAGGGTTTAGCGTCACCAGATCGAGCTAGCGTCATCCTCCTCGACTATAGATACGAAAACACGGAAGAAGCAGCGATGATCGATCGATTATTCTAGCTAGATATACAGAAATGGAGACTTATGGCTACTTGGACTGCCCGAACTTCCCTAGGCCCTCCATTAGCCAGGGATCGAACATAAGCTCCCCCGCAGTTGGCCGTTCTTCCGGAAGCCAGCGTAAAATTCGGCGGAGGAAGCTGAGAAAACCTGGCACATCTTCGCCTTTTATACCATCCGCAAGGGTCTCAAGGGAGATATCAGGAATCGGCGCGAGCCCTCTCCATTGACTTTGGAGTGTGTTAGTTAAAGCATGTAATAAAGGGTGAAGGGTCAATTACCATTTTCGTCCCAATATATGAGGCTCGTTTGACTGCGCCCTAAGAGCTCCTTCGGTGGCGGACCCATGATTGCAATCATCTCTGCAAGATGAAGCCTATCATCCAACAGTTTCTCACCATTTCTAGCCTTGAAGAGGGTGCGGCCTTTCGCAATGTCCCAAGACTATTGAGAATATAGTTTGTCAATTTTTACCTGGAAAGAAAATGATATACGATTGGTTTGCTTCTGACTTACCACCATAGCAACGCTCCATATACCCACCCAAATATCCCGTTCACTTCTGAGAATTATTTCCGGAGCCCTGTATACATCGGGCATAATATCCTCGCCAATATGGGCTTCATCCCGAAGCCTAACTTCACCGAAATCGGTAATAATTGGCAATCGACTCGAGAAAGGAACTCGCCTGCTCACGTATATCGTACGATCATCTAGAACCTTACGAGGGCATGGCTGATAGTCGGTCTCAGCCTCTTCAAAGACGGAAAAGACTGATGTGTCGTCAATTCCAAGCAGCAAGTTCTTCGTCTGAAGATTTAGGATTGTCAGATTATTAAACCATGTCCTTTTTGTATCATAAACGTACCGGTGTGTATAACGTCAAGTCGATGGAGATAATCTGGGTCCACCAAAATTTGACGCAAAGGAGGCTTAAGTAACTCTAGATCAAATGTTTTGGTGTGCCTCATGTCAAGCACTTGATCCAAGCTCAAGCCCAAAGGTTCCTGGACCAAGCAATCATGCGAACCACACGGCCCATCAACCGTAAATGAACTGTAGAGTTTACGATGAAAGGCCTTCCCAACATGATCAACTTTATGCTCTGAATCCCCTATATGCTTATAAATTTCGAGCTCGCGATTCGGCTCCCGCGAGGAAACACATATCTTGAGTACGACATGGCGAGACACTCTATTTAGCCAGTCAAATGGGAAAAAATAAAGAGGGGAATAATAGCATAAGTCATATGACACTTTATAAAAACTAAACTACCTACTGGAATTCACGAGCCAGCCAAACAGTCGAGGAGCCACCATATCCAACCTTCCCAACAACTTGATACCTGTCTTGAAATATCTGGCCTAAACGAACAGGATAGTATCTCGCAGGACTATAAGTCGGGAGAGTCTCCTCCTCTATCATTCTTGCCGCATCGACCAGCTCAAAACCATCGGGGGGAAACTGGAGGGGAGTTTGAAAACTAGATGATATCATGCGACGGTCCAGGGGGGATAGTTTGAAATGCAAAAGCGACCTATGTATAGTACATCTTCGCCAGAGCGGGCGGGTACATTGCTGGAGGCCAAATTATAGTAATCTCATTAGGAAGGGCTTTCCACGTGCGGTGATGCCACAAGAATCGCTGGAGAAGTCAAGGCTTTGGCTGTGGTTGTTGATGCTGTTCGTGACATGAAATTAAGCGCCAAGCTTTGGCAGAGCCCCATGCTCGGACTTCGCTAACCTTATTAGGTTAGACGACCTTAATTCGTTACTTAAAATAGTTACTTTACGCGCCTACAAGGTTTCGCTTTGATCTAGGCAACCATCTTGTAGTTTTTACCCTTCGACACCCTTCGAGGGCGTTCTTGCGGTTCATGCAGCATAAGCAGGTGAGCTGAAGGAGACAGGGGCCGAACAGGGCTCACTTCTTTGCTGAGAGCCCCGGTATAACTTTAATTAATGCTTTCAGCTAGCTAACGTACGTATCAATATTCCATTTCTCCCCAAACGAAGTATTATGCTGTGAATGCATGAAAAATTCCGCATTGAATAATTTCAGCGCATCAAGCTGCCAGGCAGCAGGCTTAAGTTACGCGCCGGAGGCTTCACGTCATGGGTCTCTGCCTATTCGTATGGGTAAGAGCAGCGTAGAATACCCTGTCTTGTTGGATTCCGCGAACTGTGCCATGCATCAGGAGACTTGTGACTAACGAAGATCCATGTTATTAGCATAGAGCGTAAATAGTTAGGTACGACTGACCAAAAGGATGTGATGATAATGGGAAATGTTGTTGCGAATGAAACGACAAGTTTCATTTAGCACCAGGAAATGCTTTTGGGCGGCAAGCCAGTGAGTTTGTATAGGCTGGTTGATGTTGCGGCTGATGAAGACTGCCTTCCTAACAGCCATTACAGGGTCATCCGAAAAGTCCTAGGAGGGGTATATAAGATCAGTGAACCTCGAAGGTATCCATCAAGTCAAGTCCATCATCATCATGATTCATCATCATCTCTTGGTCCATAGAATCAGACATTCCTAATTCGCTCTTTCATGCACACGCACGGCGGACCATGACGTTCCGAAACCTGTACCTCGTAACCTTCTATGCACCTTCAGACAAGTGGAAACACTTAGCAATATTTGTCTTCAACACTGGTGACTCGAAGAAAGGCACGCTCATTCATGTCATCGGAAATCCACCGACCGGATATGCCCTCCAGTTCCAACGAAACTATGATCCCACAACAAATGAGTCATTCCAAAGGATTATTCTGATTGGGAAAATATCCGCAAACCACGTTGCTGACCCGAAGAATTCGCAACTATCCAATGACAAAGCTCCCAGAGGCCAATTGGAAATCATCGCAAGCCGCATCCCTCCACCAACTGTCGGGAATTATATGGCTCCATTTAAAGGGGTATGCATGCCCCAAAATCCAAGCGCTCGCTCAATCAGTTTCATTAACAAGTCACGAAATAGGTTATCAGGAGATGCCAGGAGTGGACAATGGATTTCATCACAGAGCTCGTTATACGGGGGTATCTTGACGGTCAGGCTCGAACGATATTGAGAGAGCACAAAGATCCTACCGAATATGTGTATGGTGCAGAGTTGCACGCTGTTGCAAAACGAGTTTACGGTTCGTTGAGGAAAAATGGAGCATATTCTGGGGGAGCAGCCCAAGCGTACAACCGTGGCCATCAAGGAAGGATTATCTAGTCATTAGTTCTCATATAGGTGGCTACTTGATCTAACGGGCAATTGGTATATGAACCTGTACATGTACGACTAATAACCAGCTTACAGGGTCATTGCCCATTAAGTTCTGATACTGGTTGCTTGTTTCACTTTGGATAGATAACTGGAATACGGGGTAATGGAAATATGGGTGATTATGGTAGAAATCGTATGATCGATCGAGTTTCCCCACTTGGATGTTAGCTAGATTGTTGAGATAGACAACTAACTTCGCGCAGCTTTTTGTTAAGAGATAATATAATTTCACTAAATTAAGTATTACCTTGGACTATAAGCCATGTCAGTATAAAATGAGAGAATGAGAGAATCCTGATTCACTACTGCATAGGCTATCAAGGAAGGGGTGGTGGCGGGGGGGTTCGAAATATATAGAGTAGAGCATATATATCTTCACCACCACGGCTAATGTCTCTTTGTCTATCTTCTCTTATATCTCCCTCTCGAAGATAAGTCGGAAGATCTTCCAGAATGTCTCTAGAGAGCTCTTATACTTCAGTCCCTGCCGTCGTCTCCCTTCTTTTTCGCAGAGTTGGTGTAGGGACCAGTTATGAAACATAAATATATTCACCACCTGCACCTTTATGTATATCTCTTTTGCGTCCATATGCCACCTGTTCGCCGTTGTAAACATTAAAATATCTGACATTTAACCTCCGGGGTCGTCAACTGAGGCAAACCAGAGCAGGCAGATCACAGGGCATTGGAGCAATCAGACATTTATCCAACATGTAACGACCTTTGCTGCGTCTGTGGGGAGATGTAACTAACTAACGGCCAATAAAAGCAAGACATCTTCCCGCTGTCTACCTCGACACTTCTGCTTCTCAACTAGTTATTTAATGGCTGTGTACGCAGTACTTTAAGATGACAACATCACCACTTATCTATCTCATCAATATAATCTTAATGCTAACTAACCCGTCGCATAACTTTACAATGAAACGGTCCAACACAGCTTCGATAACCTCCTTCACTCTTCCAGATCAACAAGGATAGGTGGCTGCTATCTTCGATTTTTCTGAAGACGGTGACTCAATTCGCATCACCATTCCTAAAAAGAGCAGCTGGGAGTACTGGAAACATTGGCTTAACCCACATTCCTCTATCTGCGACGAGATTACGTGCTTAGCTGGTGTTGCCCTCATTACAGTCTACTATCCTGATGATCCTCTTTCTTCTAGGAGGGGAACTTCGGAGCGGGGAAAGTATATCGTTTGGTCCTGGTGCTTCTTCTACTTGGTTCCGTGATTCTCATTACAATCAAGAGGACCTTATCGTTAGCATAATTGGGGATGAATCTTTCCACAGGAATATTTGCAGCGCTATTATCGACCGAGACCGTATGGCTTTTTTCTCCTCAACGCCTTACGCCAGTTGTTATCTCTTCTCGGTCTATTCCAATTTTCACGTCCGTTCCGCGAATGGATACTTGACCTAATGCTTGCTATTCAACTAAGAGCAATTTTCTATTCTAACAGTTTTTGGATATAACATCCGACAATTCCGTTCTTTTGGTGGTGAGAATGGCGACAAATATGGGGAGAACCCCGCGTACCGGAAAGGGCATACCGGTTTAGGTGGCAAAAGCAATGGCAATCACGTATACCGTTCAAGGAATATGTTACTGGGTTGGAAGGATTTTCCTCGGGATGAAGGGCAGCTACTCGGAATATACCCTTTAGCCAGGAGGGGATGGAGGGGGTTGGATATGTTGTCAGAGGAATGAGGAACGGTCCAAGGTATATTGTAATTCTCAGATTCAACGATAAAGCAGATGGTGATGGTAATGTTGGCAAGCCGTTGGAAGTCAGTAGCTAAAAAAGGAGAAAAGCCATAGGAGGAAGGCTGGAGACCTCAAAGGTGCAACGGAAGTGGTTTATAGCCGGGGGCCTTATTTTATAACCCTTTCCGCCTCATTGTGGGACCCAGAGTAGCAGATACTAAGCAACAATATGTTTGCTTGTGCTAGGCTACCGTGATTTTGGTTTCGAAGCAAAAACTCGTAACGACTGTGGCCACCCCCCCCCCCCCCCCCTCTCCCGGCGGCCCTGATGGCATAGCCAAGTGCCTCAGTTTCGATCTGAGATAACTGTGCTTTTTTTGGCTGAAGATCAATGAGTCCCTGGTCGGAAACCTCAAAGAGAGCATCTAGAAGCCATGTGCGGCACGTATGACCTTCTATTGGAACCTCGCCAATCCTTGTGTGGAATTCTTCGTGAAACTTGCGCTCATAGTCTGTAAGTCTTGATACCTTGACGGCTGTCAAGAATCTTGTCGAGTTCAACAAATGCGGATGAAGGAATTGGCTAAGATAAAAGCCATCTCCGTCATTAGTGTTGTGGCAGACGATACCGGTCCGATTGGTAGTTGCATTGACTAGCCCAGTGATAGGTTCCGTCCTTTTCCAGACGGAATAAGGTAATGTAGAGCATCCATGGCTCCAGCTCAAGAGAGGGATTGTGTGTCCGGTCTCCGTTTGTGATTGTTGACGGATTTGGAATACCACCATTGCGGAAGGGCATCGCCCAAATATACGAGTTCAATCAAGTATATAAAAAAAGGGTGCAGCTGTATAGTCCAGCGCAAAATTCTGGGAAACGGAAGGCTGTGTCTATGACTTGATGGGATTCCAACAATATAGACATGATGCCGGAAACTTGGACTGCTTAGCTTTATATACCTTCATAATCATCCATTGCACCAGAATCATATTTCTACTTTCTTTAAAAACTTGCATCTCATCTCGTGTAGTTTTCTTCCGTAACAAAGTCGGGCCTTTCTATGATAAGAGCCAATCGAGCCATCTAGAGTGCATGGAAATCACTGGCTGGGAAGACCGGGATCTACGTTTGGGTGCGTCAACCAGTGTTTTGATTAGCGCCTGCAAGCAGTAGGTTCCCCGTAGATTAAGAGAAGGTTTCATATGACCCATACATCCTGTATCGCCATTGGAGCCGCAGGGTATAGCAATCTGATCTTCCGACAGACTTAGTGACGAACAATGTTTCAATGTAAGCTTGCCTGTGACATCTGTATTCAAGGCGCAACCAAAAAGTGGCTAAAACCAACTGGTGGAGAGACAGGGGTATTCGATTGTCCGTCAATCGCCGTCTCCTGAATATGATTAGACCCTAATCCATTATAGAGTGGCATGCAGGTAAATGTGGGCCGGCGTAACATCCCATGGATATACTCGGTAGGCCGGGCTCTAGTTACCAATCAATTAACAAGCATTTGTTGCCAAAGCATTAGTTTTGCCAGCTAATGCAGCCTATACATAGGTAGTATGCCCCGAGTGCATGGACGATTTGGTGGATGCAACTGGATATCCCTCCCCTAGCTTCGGCGCGTATATCCCTACTGACTAATTCGATGGCACGAACAATTTCCATTGGTGAGTGAGCGCTGGTGTGTGAGCGGGCTGACAAGCCCCTTCAAAGCTTAGGCGAGGTCCACTACCTGTTCGTCCGGCGGGTCGGGTCGGGCCGGGCGGCTGAAAGGTTTCGGATAAAAGATGTTACAGTTCCAGCCGCCAGGCCCGGCATCACGTGGATCCGTTCAATTATTAAGGTTAGGCCCGAAACACTAACGAGATATCAGAAAACAGTCAACGTCAACTCTTGCTTCAGGAGAACACGAATCATATTATGGCCATGGAAGAAGCGTTGGCTAGACATGATCGTTTTGGAGAGGACTTCAGCAAGGTATTCACCATAATAAACTCCGCGGAGATCCCTGCGGTTGAGAATAGCGCCTTATATTTATTCGTGGGCACTTCAAGAACTCCTGATGAGGCGTCGAAGTATGTTCGCGTTTCCCAGAACACTCAGTCTAGTACTTTGGAGGAGACTCTTCATTTAATACATGAAGAGCTGAAGATCCTATCAAAGAAGAGTAAGAGAGATGTCTTAGAACTGAATTTGATCATGGTTAACCGGTGAGAGATAGTGACCCGAGAGGATCCCATGAATTCGGACCCAGAGATTGAGGCTGCGCTTTATGAGCGTGATTGCGGTCGCTGTTTTATCACCGGCCGTACTGCAGGCGCTCAGCGCATATATATCATTCCTCCATCGATTCTGAAAGACAAAGATCTACAGCCAGGGGTACGCTTGCATTTTGTTCGTTGGTTGAATACATGTTAATAATTAGTAGGGCTACCTACGTCCACTTCTCGACGTTTCCCTGACCAAGGAAGGAACTGAACAGATGTTCAATCTACTAGGGTTGCCTGGTAGAGAGAATGTTCCCAAAAACCTCAATCTTATGGAGCCTTCGATCCGATACTCTTTTCGCCATGGATATTTGAGATCATCAAGTCACCATACTTGGAGCCTCCATATCTACCGACGGACGCCCTAAAATCCAAGAATGGCGGAGTGTGTTGAAACAAAAAATTTACATACCGGCATCTTACTAACATAAGTCTCTATAGTGGTGGCTTCAGCCCATCGCCCCTCAGTTGGAGGTAGCACAAATAATACCTCACAACAATGAACTATACAAGGTCCAGTTGATGATAAATTTCATTAGCCATCCATTGCCTGCACATCTGCTACTAAAAACCCATAGAATTGTTAGCCACCCACTGCACACTATCTATATCGAAGAGCATATAAAAGCAGGTTGGCCCGTTGAACCGGGTATGGCACTCATATTTTGTATTCAGCCGAGATCTTACTAATTTGAGCAACATAGAGCCCGAGGAACTGAACTGGGTCGGAAGGCTTTTCCTACAAATACTCCTACGCGTTATACCCAACTTTGCACGCATACAGCTTTAAAAAATGATTTACAAGTTGGTAGATTATTGGGATCCTAGCTAAAAAGGCTCCCTCGTGAAATTTCTTCCACTAGGCCTTGTTCTCAAAAAAGGCCGCGAAAATACCGAGAATGAAGCCAAAGCTCTGACAGTGGCGGAACAGTATATATCGATTAGTACACCGCGATTCATCGACTCATTCATGGTCAATAAAACATCGGGTTTTATCTTAATGACTAAAGTTGTTGGACGCAGTCTAAGCAGCATACTTCATCGCATTACATGGGAAGAACTAGAACAGATAGGTAAAGACCTAGCTAACTTCATTACCGAGTTGCGACTAATACCAAATACCTTAAAGTACCTTATTGCAGATACACGAGGGGGGCCCGTTAGTGACCACAGGTTCTTCTATCAGACTTGGGGTCCATTCAAAACGGTCTCTGGTTTCACTGACCGTCTCCTTCAAGATGTCAACGGGGCTAGAGACAAGCCACCACTCTCTTTTCTGTACGAAAAAAAGCATAAAGTCTAATTTACCCATTCCGACATACATATGACCAATTTATTTGTCACTGGCGGGAGGTTATCAGGTGTTGTTGATTGGGAAAATGCTGGCTTCAAGCCCGAGTATTGGGAGTACATCCAGGCGATGTGGGCTTATGGAGCGGACAAGCATGCAAAATGTCTATGTGGCTCTGCATTCGGTGATAAGTACAACGAAGAGAACGAAGCGGAACGATAAATTTTGCAGCGCTGCTCGTGGCTACTTTGACTAGAAACTAGTCTATATAATTTGAATTGCTGTTTGGCACATTGCTTGCTATACGGAGAAGGAGAGAATTAAACGGTGGCAGAGGAGGTATCGAAGCCACTGCAGTCTGGAATGGTTTCAGTCTAACAACTTTTCCTGGATTTTCGGGGCTGCATTTTTGAACAGCTGATTCGGCTGCGGAATGAATTTCTTCCATTGGCCCAATGCAAGATATCTGAAGATGTTAACCCCGGTCATCGTTTTTCTGCGGCCAAAACTAACAATACAAGTGCAGCTGCGCGGCGGGAGGCAGTGCCTGCAAGACCTATGCCAGCCTCCCCAATCAGGTTCCGTCACGGCAAAGAATGCCTTCAGAGGTAAGGTCTCTGAATATGTCCTCCCTACGGTTCGATGGCCCTTTGAGACTGGCCAACCAGTTGACCAATATACAATCTGTCTCGTTTGATACTAGAGAAAATTCAGAAATTTCCAACCATGTCAAGTCAGGGTCTGCGTACCTCGGTGTGACAGGACCAGCGGGCGGGGTCCCCATCGCAGCCCAGGGAGTATAAAGTCATCCTAGAAATGGCGCACGACGATGGCAATCAGCCCGTTGCAGGGAAGTCGCAGGGAATATTGACAGGCTCTCAGCTAGGTTAACTGGTATATGATATGACACGGCGCCCAGTATGGTTTTCTCCTTACAGATGTTTAATTGGATCAAATGTCTGGATGACAATGGCAACCCCCAGTCTTACTCCACCAATCTCCTTCACAGCTAGTGGCACATCAATACCCCCTCAGCTGACTGTTATTATTACAGTCTGGCGACTAGGAAAGATTCATACGATGGACCCGGGGATGAATGATGTCAAAACAGACGGCCACTCGCTTATGGGCTAACACTGCAGCATTTGAGTTACACAAGGGCCGGACCTCTCTTCTAGTTAGCTATCTACTGTTTATTAATCAATATCGGCTATGGCTAGCTTGAACTACACACCCAATCTCCATTCTTGCAGGGCACTATACATCAGCAGGCCATGACTGTACCTAACCTACTTACTCCGTACATGAGGTGACAAAAATGGAGTTTGTTCTGTTCTCGCCTACGGTTGATAGGCTTAAAGGTTATATATTTGTCTGGCAAGCTAACTTTGCTTTTGGGAGATACCGAGAAATCTGGCCTAGGTGCGGCTGGCTGCGCCACTCAAACAGGGCTAGAAAATGTCACGACAACCACTCGTACATAGGTATTAACGACTGTGATAGCAAAGTGGGACTGCCTTGCGAATGAGTGAGCGTGGGTGCAGTGCAAAGGAAAAAAAAGTTTTGGCTGCGGGAAGGGAAAAAATAGATAGGCAGAAGTAAGAGACGACCACTCTTCAAACTGATAACTAGACACCAACACTGGATACGTGGATCTTCCGGAACCTTGGGGTGAAACTGGTCACAGCCAATAAGGCGAACTACTCGGATATCAACACCTTCGTCTCGGAGACTTCCAAGCTGGGGTCTGAGTCGTGATCGTGACCGAATCCCAGAGCAACAGAGATTATCTTGACAGATGAGTTATGGTTGGGCAAGCTGAGCTCGAAAGTGACGTTGGTGCCGAATGGTTGTGAGTTGGGGATTTGCCTGCCTACTGAAGGCAAGATCTCAAAGTCCGAGTCAACGTTTGGGACATGAATGTCTAGAACATGGTGATGGCCGAAATAAATCCAAGTCCCCGTGATTTTGCCCTCATCTTCTCCCTCACATTCAACTTGGATCCTCTTCAATTTGGCCGTCTTGCTATCCGGGTTCGTGATAGACATATAGATATGGCAGGTTTTGTGTGGTGCAAGATGGCTGACTTTGGATCCCAGTCGCTCATATGTGATGATGCACTTGCCATCACCTACAACAGCGGCTCCGCCAGCGGAAGCGTGATGGGGTAGGCCGTCAGGGCAGGTAGGCATGGCTGTAGCAGTCGATGGGAATTAGTATAGAGGCTGATACTGTGAACTATCCGGGCCCAGATATGACTCAATTGATGGCAGCTCACGCACTGAGAAGCCGTTATGGTGGGGAGCGGACCCGAATATATATTTCTCGCCCAAGGCCAGATAGGCCGTACATGATACAGCTTTGGGGGGAGGGGCCGTAGTAGAGGCCTCAACGTTTTCTCTTTCCTCGTGCGGGAGAAATAGGTCCGCTCACGTCAACGTCATGGAGGCCAGGGGGAACATGTCAAAGTAATGTTCCTTGACAGGGTGACAGAAGGTTATATTTTAGTGCATACACTGGGATTATTGAAACTTCGCCAATCGTCAAGGCTACTACATGCAAAGGAACCCAACCTTCAAGCCCAAATACCCTGGCCCGGTCACAGCCTCGAGCTGAGAACAGGATGTTTGCCCGGGTTGTATTACCTTCCGATTTGGCCTGCCTGCGCCTCCGGTTTTTTCGTTAGATATCCGCGGAGTCAACGCCGATCCCGCATCTTTCCAACTAGCCGTTCGATACTCTAGGAATATCCTTTGGATCCAGCCAGCTGTGATAGTGGATTCTCCTTGCGAATCTCTTGTTTTCCATGAAACTTCTCCCACAGGACTACTCCATACCATTACAACTGTAACTATGGATTCCCCTAAGAATATGCCACCGGACTCCTTGATAAGGAGAGATGACGGTAGACGGTTCTGGCAGGGCAAAAATGGAAATGAGGACGAAATGATTGGAACTGCTGAGGCACAGCCGGGAATGTCAGAAGTCGACCTTCAAGGCTCTCGAGAATTTCTGGCTAAGCTGGGGATTGGAACTGGTCCCGGCTTGCGAACTCTCATGGATGCCTTGGAAGGAGGTGCAGGGTATGAATAATGAAACGCTCGACTTTTCTTCATGGCAAGTCTGGTTGCTGATTTCTATCAATTTTGCCCGATGCTGCTGTAGAATCGGGAGATTTACTCAGGGCGTCCTCTTAGGTCTCGCTGAGCAGGTTGATGTGATCGAGCCAATTGTTAAATTCACCGAAAGACTCCATGGAAGAAGCGGTATCCGGGATATCTTCAGCGTCGGCTTAGAAGAATGGGACCCGGCTCAGGATGTCAAGTACGATTTAATTTGGAATCAATGGTGTCTCTGCCACCTCACAGATGAGCAGTTGGTTCAGTATTTGAGGAGGTGTAATACAGCCCTCAGAGCAGGTACCGGGCTTCTTATTATTAAGGAGAATTTGAGCATCCGTGGAGTTGACGTGTTCAACAGCACTGACAGTACTGTTATAAGGTGAGCGGCCGTTTGATGAGAGTTTGAAATTATGGTCTGGTTATTGACTGAGAATTCCAGGGAGGAAAGCAAGTTCTCAAGTATATTCCGGCAAGCCGGCTTACAAGTAGTAAAGTCACAACTTCAGCGCGGCTTCCCTAGAAACCGTCTACCCGTGAAGATGTATGCGCTTAAATCAAGCGAAGTTTGAGATAATTAAAATTGCAGAACTGCTATGTCGATCATAGCAATGCTGACATGAGTTAACGAGATCACCACTCATCTTCAAAGGAGTACTCAGCTCAAAAATTTGGATATCTCTTTGGTACGGGACCAGTTTGGGTGGTGTGAAGGAGTTCGACCCCCAATATCTGTTGCATATTTTTCTGCTCCACAGTCTAGCATGAGCTGCAAAATCTCCAGGGTTCCAAACCAGGCTGCTTCGTGGAGTGTAGTACCTTTCCAACCAGGCCATATACCGTATCCTCTAGCTTCAGTATTTGCACCAGTTTCGATTAAAAACCCTATTTCGTCGTGATTTTGTCTCATAATCGCATTGAAGAGAGACTTATCTTTGTAATCCTGCGCCGGGTGATTTAAATGACTTATAACCACTCGGGTTGCAACATTCCACTTCTCTGCCAGAGCAAGAGCAATTTTTGTTTTTCTCTGTTGTATCGCATAGAAAAGGGCAGTCCGCGAGTGCTTGTCTTTTGCGTTTTGATCTACTTCTTTGTCTCTTAAAAGCTGTAGCACGAGCTGCTCATTATTGCTCAAAACAGCAAGATGTAAAGGTGTTCGACCGTCTGAATCTGACTCCCTTCTCATTGTTACTTCGTAATTTTGCATGGGTGGCCCAGGGGCCTCCTGCTCCGAAGAGATATCACCGTCCTGCGTGGGCGGGGCGCTTGTCGCTTGCGCGGAAGCGCTAAGCTCATGGAACGGGATGGTGGGCGGCGCTTGCCAGCCCTCCGCCATAGGCTCGTCTATCATCCAATTTTCTTCCACCCGCAGAGAGGGAAATATCATATCTGGTTTGAATTCTAGCACAAACACCTTTCCAGACTCAGTGCCAATGGCCACTGTCGATTCGAATACAGCACTGCAAAGTAGATTGTGTTCAGAGGGCACACGCATCAGATTTTGACCGTGGCAAGTTATCCAAGTCAAGTCAGGGCTCATACCGTAGCCATGCCAGATCGGCTGTCCGGTTTTGGGCTGTAATAATGAACCGAGTGCGACTCGCCCGATTTTAGTAAGTAGATAAGAATCTGTCGGGTCGAAGGACACAGTATGAAGCAGAATTCTTGCATTGATACCAGCGACGCACTTGCCTGTGCCAGTCTCCCAGATCCTGAGAGTCTCATCGGCTGATGTCGAAGCGAGGAGCTTGCCGCTATGTGAAAATGCGACGGCATTGACCGAGTCCTTATGACCATGGAGAACGCGGGCGCAGACGCCCGTACGGACATGCCAGATTCTGACTGTCTTATCTGTTGATGTTGATGCAACGAACTGGCTGTCATCCGAAAAGACTGCCGAATTAACCCAACCATCGTGGCCATTCAATACCCATACGCATTCTACTTCTGCAGTACTCCAAATTCTGACAGATTTGTCGCGTGATGAGGAAGCGATGTACTGGCCATCTGTTGAAAACACAGCTGTTCCCACCGAATCAGTGTGGCCTTCGAATAACTGTATGCACATGCCTGTGTCAACCTCCCAGACCCTAACAGTATGGTCGCCCGAAGAGGATACGAGGAGACTTCCATCAGGCGAAAAATCGACAGAATTGACACAGTCCTCGTGGCCTTCTAGGGTTTCCTTGCATTCGCCCGTAGTGATGTCCCATATCCTGGCGGTTCGGTCACTTGAAGCAGAGGCTAAATGGGTATCACTTGAGAAACATAACCCATTGAGCATATCCTTGTGGCTCCCAAGAGTATGCATATACTCACCCGTGGTTGCGCTCCAGATCATGAGCGTCCAGTCGTCTGAGATCGATGCTATGAATTTTCCATCACGGGAGAATGTTAAAGAATCAACCCATTTATCATGAGCGCTGACGACTCGCATATTTTTGCCTATAATACTCATATCCCAGACCTTGATCGTACGGTCCGAGGAGCCAGATATCAGGCGTTGGTCGTCCGGGGAAAATGCCAGAGCGGTCACTGTCCAGCTATGACTCCGAAGCGTCTGTTCACATTTGCCATCACTGTTCCAGATTTTAATGGATGCATCGTTGGACGCAGATGCGAGGTACTTGCCATTGTGAGAGAATGCCACGGAATTGATCCAGTTGGTATGGCCTTGGAGTACTTTCACACAGGTGGATGTAGCAACATCCCAAATTCTCACAGTTTTATCACTTGATCCTGAAGCAAGGTATACGCTGTTTTGCTTGAAGGATATTGAATTTACCCAGTCGCTATGGCCCTTGAGTATTGTAATGCATCTACCATCATCGACATCCCATATTCTGATAGTTCGATCACTTGAGGCAGATGCAAGGTGACGTTGGCCACTTTTATGCGAGAGTGCCAGAGAATTAACCCAGTCAAGGTGGCCTCTAAGGGTTCGAGCACACTCACCCACGGTAATATTCCAAATTTTGATAGTGCGGTCGCACGAGGCGGAAATAAGAAACTCCTTGTCATAAGAGAGAACAACCGATCTGACGTGATTCTCGTGGCCCCTGAGAGTCTGCAGACACTTTCCTGAATGGGCTCCCCAGAACCGAATCGTTTTATCACTCGAAGCAGAGACTAGCAGGTTATTGTCATGTGAGAAAACTAAGGAGGTAACACAGTTAGTATGACCTTTGAGGGTTTTCTCCCATTTCCCGGATACCGCATCCCAGATTTTAATGGAATAATCGCTTGAGGCTGATGCAAGATGTTTATGGTCGTGTGAGAAAACCACTGATCTGATTGTATCATTATGGGCTTCGAGTGTCTGGAGACATGCACTCCAGCTATCTTCCATTATGGGGTATGTTTTCATCCATTTTGGCTCTTCCATTCGAAATGACTCCTTGATGACACTCTTCGCAGGTATGAAGACGAGAGCTGAGGCATATGTTTGAAGCGGCGCATTCTCAATCAGCACCTGGTTGTATAGAACAAACCTTCGAGCATCCTGGACAAGCGTCAGCAAATTAGGGTTGGCACCCAGGTCCTAGAACGATTAGTTAATGATTCAGATATGTCGTTGCTGACTACTGTGAACAGATATTGTGTTAAGTTAATGACAACTAACCTCAAGTACGCCTTCGAGTTTCTCTACTGCAATTATGCCTGCCCTCATCCGCCTCAGCAGACTCAGAGATTCAAGCCAATAGAGGAAGAGCCGTTTGAGAAATTGATGAACAATATTATCGCCTCGACTGAGGCAATCCCGGCACTTTTGTAAGTTCTTTGTGTAGGCTTCATGGAGATGGTGAGCCCAGTAGACGCAAGAGTATCTGACGGTTTTCAGGGGGTCTTGGTCAGGCTTTTCCATCTGATTGATGGCCAATCCGGGTCGAGATTGTGCATATATGTCCCGTCTCAGCGTCCGCATCAAAATCGTAAGTGACCGTAATGAAACCCCGTAGTGAACATCAGAGATTCCGGAAGGCATAATTTCTGTAGAGGCATGAGTCTGCAGGTATTCCTTTGCGGATTGGTGCACGAAGTAGATGGTTTCTCGACGAGTGATCAGGAATGAACCGCAAAGTTTAATAATATCCTCCAACCACTCAGTATACCCTGAGATATCACCTTCGAGCTCAATTAGAGAAGGAAGCTCTGCAAATGTAATGGGCCGATGAGCAATCATTGCGATAGCGAGTATGCTTTTGCAGAAGTCAAGATCACTATCATCTAACTTGAGCATTTGACCAAGCATAACTCCGTACATATCCTCTAGCCCAGGGGGGAATTTATGCAATTCAGCACGCGTATTCCACGGTTTGATACCTGATAAGCGCTGACAGACCAGAGCTACCCAGAGGAACGTTTCGTTGGCGTTTTCTTTCAGATATTTCCGAACCTCTTCTTGCACCGGACGACTGTATCCTTTAGCCCTTGAGAGTTGGTTCACCTTATGATCGATGTATGTATTAACGGCGGTAGATATTAGCGCATCGTTTTGGTCGAGACTGAGGTAGACCTTATGTTCGAAAGGTCCTAATACCTCCTTGATATCGTATAGGTTTCGGCTGGAGACAATCCACTTGACACAATTGGAGGGTGTCGATGATGTCTGGCATATAAGGTCTAGTAACTTTCGTAAGTCTGTTTGGCACTCATCGAGTGCATCAACAATTAGGTATATCGGCTTCGTCGTCTGGATCGACAGCATGTTTCTGAAAACATTGGACAAGGCGAAGAAGTTCTCTGGGTCTGCAAAAAGTGTTCCGCCACTGAGGCTGTATCTTTCCTGCAAGTAGTCCAGGAATGATCGATGTTGGAGAGCAAGAAGATAAATCAAGCCCCGGAGCACAGCAGTAGCGTTGTTAAGCTGCGAATCGCCTTCCTGGAAAAAGAAGAAAGACGGAGGAATATGTTTAACACCGGGATTACTCAGATGGTCGATGATGCCACAGAGGAGCATCGTCTTCCCCTTGCCTGGGCTACCGCTTATCCAGAACACGCCGCTGCCCTGGTCACTGCGCCATTTCTTAAAATCCCCAAAATCAACAATCCATTCGTAAGATTTAGCCAGAAGGCCACCCTTTGTGTCCAGGATACGGGACTTGTCGTCGCGAGGGTCTGTCAACCGCAAGTCCTTGAGAAACTCGAGGTTTTCGCCCTTGTCTAGAGGTTGTCCCTGTCAACAAGGCTCACGAAGGATACATTTATAGTAGAGTGACTGAAGCGTATAAAGTAGTCCTCACCTATCCGGTTTTCGGTGATGTTAATTTGATCGGCAACGTACTGCCTGCCGGTCGAAGTATTATTGTATTGTGAGCCGTCACCATCATTATTATATTGATTATCTTTTTTATCCTCAAGTCGCAAGGCTTTGGCCGAGCTTGCTAGTTCATCGCTGGGTCTTCTCTTCAAATCCATGTCGAGGCTTGACATATCGAGAAACTGGTCATCTCTGTCATTCCTTATGGAGGCTTCTTTGGGTGAGGGGTTAAGTCCATATCTCAGCTCAGACGAGGTTGCAAATAGTAAATCAAATCTGTGCTAGGTAAAATTTTGTGAGGCCCTACAATCAGGTGAGAGCAGGTGCTTAGTGAGTTAGCCTGTCAAACTACCCAGGTCTTGAAGAAACTACCCGGCCGGGTTGGGATGACCAATAACAACAGAACGCAGACGGGACGTTGGGCTTCATTTGTTTTTGCACGGGTCATCGATGTGATTGTCGTAAGCGTAAACGGATTAGTGATGAGGCTGCAGCTGCAAGCGATAACTGTGAACCCAGGCCCCAATAGGGACTGAGACACCTGATTCCGCGGGGGCTATGCCACGTCTCTATGCCAGGGGGAGGGAGGGGAATATAAGGCCAAATAATATGCGAATGTTAGATGAAAAGATGGACACACTTCAGAATCAGAGCCCAACAACACTCTTATCCCGTCGACATACCCAAACATGAGATCCACAAAGTTCGACGACCTGATCTCAGGCACGATCGCCTCACTGGGAGCAGCAGCCGGGGCGTATGATATTATGAAGAATGACGTTGACCTCCCCACGACTTTTCATAAGGGAGGGCTGCAGATCTACCGTGTCCAGCAAGCACTCCAGGCGGTCGTAAATATAATGAAGTGGCGGGATCTGGCGGGAGATATCATGCAAATAATTCCTTCGCTCGAAGACAGCAGCAAGAAAGCCAAAGCGCTAGAGGAGATACTCTCAGAGACCGCTTCTCAGCCTGAATCGTCCAGGAAGAATCAGTATGTTACTGCTGTACGCAACAAGGGACCCGAAAACACCATAGAGGCACTGCTTCTGGGAATGATGCGAAACACAGTTGTCCTGGCGGAGGACGAGGCCATCAAAGGGGCTGTTGAGGAGCAGGTCAGAGGATTGCATGGAGCAATGGAAGAACTATCAGCAATGGAACCGTCTGTGCCTGTCGAGAGGGGAGAATCCCGCTTCTCCCACTTTGGTTCTGGCAGTCAGTTCAACAACGCAGGGTCGGGTAAACAGTTCAACAACACTGGTAGTGGTCGCCAGTACCAAGCCGAAGTCATGCACTTCAAGGACTAGTTAACCGCATGGGAGTTGCTGTATAAATTAAAATATGTGATTTTGACGAAAGGTTCAGCGCATTCTCTGCGCTTGATGTCTCCTATATATTCATTTTTGATTCGCGTATGTACTCCGTAGGTTGGTAGGCAAGTATCTGCAGGTATGGAGGAATTCTCGTCCGAATGTGAGCCCTCTGTTGCTAGAACAAGTCATACTCATAATGTATCCTTAATGATAGGATGGGTTGCTGCCAGAGATGTCTTCGGCTGCGATATGCAGTGAAATGTACTGCATCGTGCCCGAACTGCAGACAACCTGGACACCACTATCTTGAGCGAACTCAATCTTGGCATCGCTGGCTGACGTGGCAGTGTGCAATACAATAATCCCAGAGCACAGCCTCCAGTATATATATGAAGTCTTCTAACTTGGTAGGGCGGACCACGTTTGTACGCCTATACTCCTGCTAGCCTTAAGCTCTAGGTGGGCCTCATTCAAATTCTCTCCCTATTCTATCGCAGTCAACAATAAACATGTCGGGTATCGAGGTCATAGGACTCATATCCAGTATTATCTCTATAGTCGACACAGCTGTTAAGATCCACAATGCTCTTAAAGACGCCGATCGCCTCCCACGGGCTTTTCAAGAGGTTGCATTAAGGCTTCCGGTCGTCACAGACACCCTCACGGCTGTCAAGGGCCACCTAGAAGAGAATGGCATTGATGAAGCGACCTTCCGGGCCATCATGCCCGTCGTCCAAGCCTGCGGTGAAAATGCCGAAGCGCTGAAGGATATACTGCAAGAAGTCACGGTGTCCCCCGATCACTCGAGGCTTCAGCGGTACCGTCTTGCCATACGCAGACTCGGCAAGGGGTCCCAGGTAGAGGAGCTCATGAAGGCGCTCTTGGAAAACGTCCAGTTGCTGGCAGGAAATCGAGCCATGCAATCTGCCACAGGCGCTCAAGTTGGCGAAGTGCTTGAGGCCATACATGCACTGTCGGAAGTGCCTCCGTCAGCACCGGATACCCCTGGGTCCATGACCTTTTCTCACTACGGGACGGGCTCTCAATTCAACAACGCGGACAGCGGGACCCAGAACATCAACACAGGCAGCGGAAGGCAATATGTTGCCAACTCGATGACTTTTGGGGCGGATTGATAAGCGACTGCTGGGTTAAGGAAGGATTTGCAAATATATATTTCATCGGAGAGTAGGCGATAATTCAGGGTATCATTTTAATATCGAACTTTCTTGTCGTCTGAAGTAACGAAGCGATTTATCCTGTAACCTCCAATCATAAATGTGCTCATGTTAAGAATTTTACGATTGGCTGAAATTGCTGACCGTAATTGGTTAAATATTTTTGAATCCTTATAATACTATTGGTCAGACTCCGCGATGTTATTGGCCAGAAGTAAGCTTATATAATTAGCGCCTTGGCAATTGTTTTCTATTTCTTACTTCTCCATCTCCAAGACGGAAACTTCATGGACTTCACGATCTCAAGAATACCGTCCACCGCCAGGCACTGTACAGGGCGCGGCCATATTCTATACGAGACAGGTCAAGATAGTGGCCTTAGGTTGTCAGCCACCCCCCGCATCTTGCCATTAGAGGCGGGTAAGAGGCGTTTAACACGGCTTACTAGTGCTCTTTGACCTGCGGGCAATTTCCAGAGGCTTGAGGATGTCCGTCCTGCTACATATATATACTTACGCAGGGTATACGACAAGATGTAGATCTGGACTGAGAGAAGCTTATTTGACAAGGCCGGCTGGTGGTAGCATGACCACGGCCGTGGCGCCTCTTTACGAGGACTTCTTGATCACCCAGCGCGGACCAGAGGAAGCTTCGGTACGTTTTCTAGAGTACCACAGCCGCGGGGCTTGACGGACATGACGAGGCCAAGGGCGTGCCAGCGTCGGTCAGTACCGATAATGCAGCTCGATATTGACATTCGGCCTGGTGAAAACATATAGTTGTGTGTGACCAGCAATATAGATGAAGAGAATGAACATAACATCCAGCCTGAGAGTTGAATCAGGCTGTGAACCTGCAGAAGCAGCTGTTAAGCCGACAGTTTCTGAGGTCCACCGACGGTCCCAGATAGTTACTTGACTTTGGCTCCAGACAGGGATCGCAGCCTTGCATTGCTTATCGGCAAAAAGATCCTGTCGTCCTCCCAGCCGGACCGTACTGTAATGTGTGGCCTGGTCTGGGGAAGGCAGTTCAGTTTGGATCCCGCAGGAGTCAGAGACTCGATTGTAAGCACGGCCACACTCTTCAATTGCTGAGTGGAGAGCGCTTCCAGTCTGCTCTGAAATCACCCCGTATGCATACGTGTGATTTGGTAGGGGGCATTGGCTCTCGGCCTGATCCAACGAGCCTTGCGCTGGTTCATGAGCGCCCTGTTGGTAGGGGTGCCATGCTCCCAGCTATCCAACTTGTCCAGTTATTCCAAACCCTGGCTCTCACGGAGTTATGGTGTCTGCTTCCCTGCTCCCAATCCCCCTTTTCCCACCCAACAGTTTGCGGTCTTAGTTCAGGTATGATTGAGTTGACACCACAAGACCAAGAGCAGGGGAGTCGATCGCAGTTGGAAAGCGGTGGGTACATTAACTAAGTAACAAGTTAGTTACCCCATACGCACTTCAAAGAAACAGCAGAGTGCTTATGCGGCGGCCTCGGACTCAGCAGGGGCTGCAGATGCTGGAATCTGATATTCATAGTACATGCCGGAGTAGTATGAAACTGTCCAGCATCCATGGCCGCTTTTGTTTCAGCTTTCAACAGATCATATCTGTCGCAACAATGACTTTTGAGCCATCACTGGCACAGAGCGGACTGGAGCCACTACCTGTGAACCCGTTGTGTCCTCGGCAGGTGTATAGCCATTGCCTGTGATATTGCAGTCACCTTTTTTTTTTACTCGCCTAGTGGAACAAGCTAAAGAAGGTTGATCTAGAACGTCTCGGGACAACAAAAGAAAATGGAGCTTCTTGACGAGTTCAGTTAACTACCTATATGTGCGACACGATATTATGTTCTTCAAGAGGCGCCATCATCAATGCCCATCCGATGACTGCATAGCGAACTACTCCGCACCCAGCATGCGAACAGCATCACGTTGGATCGTCGCTGTCCACGGATGCCAGGATCAAATCAGCAGTCCGAAGCAAGCAGAATAGCGATCGACTATCAATCCATCACCGCCGTCATCACTTGCAGGAGGATGCTTCGGGGTTTACCAGGGCTCGTATCCCCTTGGCTGCCGTTCAAAGACGCACCATGACGGTCCCCACTCGTGTTTCCTCCCGCCCATCAACCATCAGTATCTTTCCCCAAGGCCAGCTTCCCCAGCGCAGTGCAACCTTGCAGGGGGTGTTTTGATACTATAATTATTCATTCACTGCTTACACGACCACGACGGGGCAGAGGGAGCTCGTCGTACCAGTACACTCACCTGGACCATGGGAGTATGATACAGACCTACCCTTGAAGCCCATCGAGGCTGGCCCTTTCTTTCTTTCTTTCGCCCAATTCCCATGTCTGGCATAGTGCATGTACGTAATGTAGATGCTTTTGGTCTCTCCGCTTGCTTTGTCCCGAACAAGAGCGATCGCAAGGGATGCCGTCGTTTCTCCAGATCGACCCGTCGAGGAGTGGAGGAGGATGAACGGTTACGTTTTTTGACTGTCGAATCATCCTTTGCTGAACCCTGCCACAAGACGAAGACAGAACTTACAGGGGGGGTCATTAGGATACAGACGGGTTCTGCTCACACTGACTTACCTACAGCCATGTTAACTTTCCAGGATGTGATCGGGCGCGGTGGAAGAGTACTGAGTTGGTTAGTGGCATCCTTGCCTGCCAGGGGTAAGGGGTGGGAAAGTGAGAAGAATTCTTCTTCACGCCATTTTCATATGGGCCAGGCGGCTGAGCGGGAGGTCCGTCCAGCAGCAAGCAGGTAGAGGGGGGGGAGGAGAAGAGCGAAGGGCCATGCGGTTCGGTATAATAGTTAATACCAACGACTCCGGGCCCAAACTGGCTAGGTACTTAGTTCGTTGCACCGTTAAAGCAGTTGCTTCGGCCGGACCAATTGTTTGCTTCTGTTTCCATGTAGGTCCTTACAGGTGGAAATGTACCGTACCGCGGGATTCGTTTCCTTGTCCGCTCGCCTCGTCTGCATATGCGTGTGTGCGTCTCCGAGCGTATGCAGGATGGTAATAATAGTAAAAGGAATAATAAGAATAACAACTACGTGAGCCGCACTTTCTGCTCCCCGTTCTTCGTGGAGGTGCAATCATTCATCTTCATCCGACTCGGCCTACTGGTTCAGCAGTGGAATGATCGAGCTGGTCTGAAGGAAGATGGTGGATCTTGGGCGTCCAACGGCCGACATGCCTAGTCGGGGATTCCAGCTCTGGGTGACGGACGTGGTGGTTGTGATTGTTGCTGGCGTCTTCGTGGCTATCCGTCTGGTCTCGAGATATCTGAGGAGCGGAATCCAGGTCGACGACTGGACTATTCTGGCAGCCCTGGTAGGTGGATCTGTATTGTTTTTCTCCAGTATACTTCCACTGCTAACATGTTGAAGGTGCTATCTGTGCTGTTCTCGACAACGCAGAATGTCGGTATGTCTGCGGTATAACCCAGCCTGAATATCTATATCAAGGTGACTGACATGTCTGCAGCCGTTGGGTATGGATTCGGCAAACATGATTGGGATATGACCGACGAGCAGGAGAAGAGGTCTCTCAAGGTAGGCAATCATCATCACCAGCAGCAGCAGCAGCAGCAGTTAGAACACAGCTCTTGCTAACGGTCCGGTCTGGCAGTGGATTCTTGTCGCTCAAGTGTTATACAAGCTGGTGATTTGTCTGGCTAAGGTGTCCATCCTGCTGCTGTACTTGAGGATCTTCTACGTGCACCAGTACTTCAGGCGGATATGCATCTGCCTGGTCGTGTTCACCATCCTCTCGGGCATTGCCTTCATCCCACCGACGATCTGGCAGTGCTCGCCCGTGGAGGCGTATTGGGACAGGTCGATTCCGCACACCTGTCTGAGCAGCTTCCCCAACTGGCTGTCGTATGCGATAATCAACATCACGACAGATGTGATACTGCTGGTTCTGCCAGTGCAGCAGATTCTGCGTCTGCAGCTGACGAAGCGAGACAAGATTGCCCTGATACTGGTGTTCCTTCTGGGATCATTGTAAGTAGCCCAGTTGGCTGTTGATAGCCGTTGACAGAGCAAGACTGACAAGGAGGCAGCGTGTGTATAACCAGCATCTACCGGGTGACTTTGGTCGCAGCATCTTCTGGCACCACAGACGTGACATGTAGGTATTCCTGACTTCTTTTCAAAGGAGGACATTCGGCTAAGAACTGGGCAGGGGCGACGACGCCGATATCGAGCTGGAGCGCGGTGGAGGTCAACTCGGGCATCATCTGCGCCTGTCTACCGATGGCCCGGCAGACGCTCTCGCACGCCTTCTCGTGCTGCCTGCCTCCGCAGACAACGAAGAACTCGTCAGATCTCGCCATCGCAGGGCTACAACAACAACTCG